TGGGTTACTACGTTTTCTGCATGACTACGACTACACGAGCATGTTAGGATGGATTGCTAGGATTCGACACGATAGTTTTCATTTCGAGCGTATCGTTTGCGCATCATCATAGGATCCGAGGTATTATCGACACGACCCGTAGCATCACGACAGCGAGAAAAACAGATTAGAGTTCCAGGATAAGTATGGGCGTATCTGACAGCCAACACCTTCGTACCTTACGAAACCCAAAGCTTGCAGAATTTTGATTTCGAGCATTCAGTAAAAATCATAGCAATGGAGTCCGACCAAAAGCTATACTTTGGTACCAGCCTTTGTCTCAGCAGCTGGTTTCATGCGAAGTTTCCGCGCCTGTTCACAAAAGTCAAACGACAGAAGAGGTGAGCGGATGTGAAACATGTCTAATCTATGCTCCGCCTACCCCTATCTCTTGTCCAATTCACCTTGTCATTTTCGCCAAGGAATCCGCGTCCAGCATATTCGAAAGTGCTGGCCCAAAGAAGCCAGCTCGAAAGAAGAAGCCAACTAGCGAGACATCTGTGTGATTTCTGTATCCGCCTTCAAAACCATCCGCCCCTAACGACAAAATGCGCCCCGAACAGTGCGGCTGACGTCAAATCACTCACGTCCGGGGGGAGCCGCGTAAGGCTGCCCGTTCTTGGTGCACGTCGCTTTCCCGGCCGCGTCTCTGGTACACGTCACCGTCTCGCTCTGCCCGTTCACGCTGACGGTCGACGTTCCGGTGGACGTTCCGCCGGAATCGTCGCCGGACATGGTGGTGGATGCGAGCTGGGTCTGGGTGTCGCGGAGGCCGCGGCGGCCGGCTGACGTTGCCCCGCACGTAGATGACGTCATGTGGACCTCTTGCTGGAACTGGCCGGAGTGGGGCTCACCCGCCTGCACGGAGTAAGATAGTCATGAAAGTGCCTAGCAGAGTGCACGCAGATGGTCAGTTCTTGTCAAATGTGGCCACCTCTGGCAATCAGCTCCATTCCGCCGTTCCGGCAATCACAAAGCTTAAGGCCGTTCGATTATGTAGCTCGGCTGTGAGAATTTTAAGAAAATTCCGTGGCCAGGATGCGGGATTGAGATTGTCCTTACGATTCTGCTCAAGTCGGTGGGAATTCATCCCTACGTAGGTCCAAAGTCGAAAGGCTTCATTAAACAAGGGAATGTAACACCTTCCCACATTAACGCGGGCAGAGGGGTCCTTTCGATAGTCCCCTGCAGCGTCAAAACTTCGAGGGGTGCGCAGCTGAGGTGAGCGCTATATATACATTGCGCAGAAGCCCAAGGACCAACAGATTTCATCTGATGGTCTGCAAGTGAAAGCATCGTCAAATCAAACAAAATGTTAAGCACACGGCACGCGAGAAAAAGAAATTTGGTTCCATACTGAGATTGCACTGCTTGGTTATTGATTTGTCCTGAGAAACATACGACAAGAGCGACTGAACGATCTGAATCCCAGCATCCTGCTTTTTTTACTGCTATGCTGAACTTACTAGGCGCTTCTCGTTTCCAAACACTCTTTCCTTGAAATTAGTAGGGGCCAGCGAGATGAAAAGCGAATGGAAAAACAATAATTTCTGAAGTGCACAGGAAGCATTGGAAGAATTTCGAGCATCATCCGAGCACTCCACATGTGAGATGCTGTTCCTTCCATGCACTATGCAATCCCACTACTCAAGACTCGTTCCGTTATAAATGCGCGACCATTTTGCTTTCCTCGGCAAATTTCTCGATAGACAAGTGCATGAAACACGTTACTGGCAGAAAGCATTCAAGGAGGGCTGGTTGCTCTCAAAAGGAATCATCCCGAAACCTTGTTGCGAAAGATTCACGAGCGACAGTACTCAAGAATCTGAGATCTCCCCTCAACATACAGGAAGAAGACAGCTAGGTCGAGCACTCGAGCACGACCTCTCAAAGGACCACGCAAGCACAGCGGCTAAAGAGTTGTTGAGAGCGGGACCTTACCTTCGCGACCAGCAAAACCGCTGCGAAGAGCAGCCACACCAGAAGAGCCTTCGTGCACTGCGATTGCGCCATCTTAATGCGAGCGGCCTTTGTGATCGATGCTGCTTTGATTTCAACCCTTTCAGCAATCTTGGGATGGTCAAAGAGCCGGCCTTGAATGTGTGAAGCCTTGCGTTTGCCTGACGCTCGGGTTGCTTTGACGGGTGTGAAGCAATCCTTCAATATTTTAAGCTTCGACTCGCTTTCCCTCTCTACAAGGGACCGTGTTTCCGGTGGAATTTCAGCTCAGAATAGCCCGAGTTAACGGAGCGGGCCTAAAGGTCCGCAAAATGGTCGACTGTTCTTCGCAGCCTGAAGCTTGTTGTTATTGCCGTTGAACCAGCCAGGTCAAAGAAGGTCTCCGCTTTCCGACCTTCTGCACGGCATTCAGTCGATGACCACATCTTCCTCGTGTCTCTTCTTGCCGAGTGCACGTGACATCTTCAAGACAGAGAGCAACGGCGGCCGCGCACCTTAGTCCTCAGAAAATGGGCCGCGGCCCCGACCTTGTAATCTGCTGAAAGGTACCATGCACGAGAGCCAACCCTTCAATCTGTTTCTGGCTCTCTGGCTCGGTGAAGCTTTCAGAAAGTTCAGCTACGAAAGGGTTGCATCGCTGATCTGACTTGCTCTGACCAGCTTTCCTCTTAGTGATGGTCGATGCTTCTACAAATACTTCTGACCATGCGCTGTCGCATCAGGATAGGACTTAATCTGACTCCGGATCCGACGGCGACTGCGCCGATTGCAACAAGTTCACACGATTGCGTAGGCATGCATGGGGGCGGGGTCCGGGGCGGGCCGATCGCGCGGCCGGCCACGCGCCCGTTGTCGTCACGTGCATCTACGGGAAGATGTCCTGATCTCCAACCTCCAAGGTTTCCTGCTAGACAGTTTTAAGTAGCCTGAGCATCATAAAAGATCCATGCCGGTAGCAGATCAGCAATATGCATTCCGACAGTCTCAAAAGCCTGTGCAACGCAGGTCATTGAGTAATTTGACCAAAGTGACATTTTTTCAGACATGGGACTTAGTGCCGCGCGGCCCTTTTTCTGAAGCTAGCGCTACTGTCATGCCGGTCGGCATGCAAGGACAGTGACCTGGGTCACTGTGCATGACAGGCTAGGGGCGGCCCGCTGCGCATGGCTGCCTCACTCACTGTGGCCTTCAGCCTTGCTATTGTCGGATGACCCTGCTCTCGGCTCATGCACCCTGCATGTGCAATATGATCGATGCAATAAACATGCGTATATGTAGGACGTACATTATGTCAGACTTAGGCTTATAAAAATACTGCCCGGCCCGTAGGCCAGCTAGGCTCGGCGTCTAGTGTATACCCACATGCATCAATGGCACATCATTGGATCAGTGCTTACCATACGCGTTAAATGCAATTCACCAAGTCAGTACTGGCCGCATCTTACTCAGTGATATGCATGAAAATATCCTGAGCGGAATTCGCTGAAGGCATACGGGGGTAATTTCCGAAGAATTACACCCGAGTTCTTTTTGCACCATGCCAATAAAGTCAATCTGAGTAGGGTGCACAGGTTCGCGGAAATTCGAATGTTCTGCTTCAGATTTCAGGCGTCGCCCCAGGCTGCCTTCACGTTTACAAGGATTGCATTGGAGCATCTAAGCGTGAATCCACTCCGCGCCCATTGCTCCATCCAAAGGCTACTAGAAAGCCAGCTTGGGCCGCTAGACACTGCAAACAGTGAAATCGAATTCAACGTTGGTTGACATCATGCCCAGGTTAGTGCAGCTCATTTGTTTGCGACCTGAGATACGCGAGCGTGGGGCCCAGCGCCCCCAGTCGCGGGGCACGTGGCTTGGTCACCCCCCGCGGTCCGACTCCGTTGGCGCCCAGTCCTTTCCCCAACTTCGCCTTATCCCCTCCAATCCCACTCGTCGAGTCATGTCTGTCCGGAGAGACCCCGCTTTCGACAGCTTTCTTTCTTGCGACGTCGAGCGCCGCTGACGAAAGCAAGCCTGACGTCAAGTCTTTCGCCTTTGCACCAGGACCAAAGCCGTTATCCACAACTTCTGGATCGTTCCGGTCGGCCGTTCCATCCGATAAGTTTCCAGTCGGTTCGCAGCGGAACCCAGAACGTGCGGCTTCGTCCGGCCCTTGCTCCAAGTCCGCTCCACCGAAACTGTTCGCAGACTTGCCCCGTTCATGTGTCCCGCTCGTCAAGGCTTCCTTCTCCTCCCTCTTCCTTTTCTCCTTCCTGTTTCTTGGCTTCTCGCTCTCTTCTTCTTCTTTCTTCTCTTTCCTTCCGTTCCTTTCCTCCCATCCCGCCGCTTCACATTCCATCCTCGCTGCGTCTCCTTCCATACGCGCCCCTTCGCCGATCTCTCCCCCTCGCTTCCTCTCTTCTTCCCCATCCCCATCTAGTTCCCCCCCGCGTCCTTCCTCTTCATTCTCCGCTCCTTCTTTTGGCACCTCGTCTCGATCACCCGTGTCCCCTGCTTTTCCCGTATCCTCTCCCTTTTGCCCCTCCTTTCGTTGCCGCTCCTCCTCTTGTCTTCTCGCCTCCTCTCGTTTCCGTTCCTCCTCTTGCTTTCTTGCCTGCTCCGCAATCTCCGCCCGTCTTCTCGCCAGCAACTGCGCCACGCTCTCCCACGCCTGCCACGCGGGCGGCGTCGGCCCCAAACCCTTCGGCCCGCCCGCAACCTTTAAACCGCCGGCCGCTGGCAGCGCTTGCGGCTCACCTCCGATAGTCGAAACATTCTTCGCCCCGGCTAGACCCTTGGACCCACCAGCCAAAGCTACATTTTTTGGCCCGCCTAAAACCCCAATCCCGTCCGTTGCTGCCACTTTCTCCGGCCCGTCTATCACCCCGACTACGCCGTCCCCGGATTGGCCGTCCCCGCCCCCAGACACGATCGCGCTCTCTTTCTCAGATCTCAAGAGCGTCTCATCACTTCCTGTCCCCTCCCAATTCGAAGCGTCCCATCTAGCGCGAAAAGCCTTGCTCGAGGAGATCTCCATATGCCCGGTGACCTTCCCCGCCTCCTCCTTTGCTCCGTTTGCAGGCCGCCCGGTGAGAACGCCCGTCGGAATCGGCTCGGCAGGTGCTGACGCTCGGCTGACGTCAGCAGGGGCATGATCCAACTTTTCTGCCTCTAGCCCGTCGTTTTGCGCCTGCTTCTGTTCCTGCCTCTCCCCTTTCCGGTCCCCATCTGCCAGGCAACCGTTCACTTTCTGTCCTTTGGCCCCTGTCTGCGGCATTGCATCGAGCCCGCTTGAAGCACTCGGACGTGGGCTAACCCCCTCGTCATTTTTACCCTCAGACTCGTTCACCGTCATCCCTGCCCCCACCTTGAGAGGCTCCTTTACCGCCCGGAGGCGACCGTTTCCGCCGCTCCCCTGAGTCTGGCCCCCATTCTCGAATCCCTTCTTTACCGATCCGTTGTTCCCACGGCCACCTATTCCCGATCCGTCGTTTCCGTCCGCCCCCATCGTCATTCCGCCATTTTTGCCCCCCTTCTCGGCCGTAGTGTGGTGGTCAGCTTCTCCCATGGCCAGAACGCTGGACGGCGACCCTTCGCCGGTGATATGCACTGGGGTAAACGCCGGAACAGGCGGTGCTCCAGGGAGCTGCGCCAGCGTGACCTCGGAAGCTTGCACGAGCTTGACGCCCATTAAAGAACCCAGGTTGATCTGCACGAAGGAACTGATTTTGAATAAAGACAGGAAAAGGAGAATGTCAGGCACCTGCAATAGGTGCCGCTTCGGTCCACTGAGCTCCACTTGAAGGGGGAAGCACGAAAAAGCGGCAATGCTTGAAGTTGGCAGCTTAGAGGGGCGGCTAGTGGTTTTTATATTTCTGTGCTGATACAGCCTTGGGATAGAGATGATTGAAGTCCAGATTTCTAAGAGCAGACCGGGTTTCGTTCTCGGCTGTGCGGGTCAACAAAACAGAACCGGAAGGAGAGATTGACTATTAAAGAGAAGACCCTGACCCACTTTCGCGAGACAGTGCCCACACGAGATTATTCCGGAAAACGCCCTACAACCACCCCCCGACTATCACGGGTTATGGCTAGGTTGCCGCCCCTCTTGTTCACATCATCCTGGACCATTTGGGGAGGGCCGAAAGGCTTACCTCCAGATTGCCATCCTCATCGTACGGAGGCGCGAACGCCGGCTCTGCTGGGAGCGTCTCCTCAAAATTCTCGTCTAGTTGCGCCACCGCCTCCTTTCTGCCGACCAGATCCTCAGCCGGCCACCACGCGAGGGCGACTGTTCCGGAGGCGGCGTCGAAGGCCGTCACGCGGCCCTCCTGGAAACGGGAAACCGAAGCGGAACGGTTCGTAGGGGAAACGACGGTTCGACAGCCATTCATCGAGCGCACGCACAGGTTTCGAGGAGCTTCTGCTGTTGTCAGGATGACTACTTTGTGAAGAAAGCGGGCGAAAGAAAACGGAAGCAGAGGTTCTATTTTCCCCCGAAATTGAAGGATTATAGAACAGAACGGAACGGAGAGCATGGATAATGAAGCAGAATAGAGTATTTTAGCAGGAGGCATCGGACGGCGGATGCAAGGGCTGCGAAGACAATATTTAGGAGGAGTATGGTTTGACATATTAACTAGACTGGCCATACCTATTGCTTCCAGAGAGACGGACTTTGGGCAAGTTTGTCATCCACAAAAATCTCTTAGCCTTTGAAGAAGTAAAGCAAGGGGGAAGACGTCAAGGGCTCGCTCAAATGGCGTTTTGGGACCCTTAATTGAGAAGGAGCGTAACAGGGCCGTCAACGATCCGAATTGGCAGCGTTGGGAGCCTTACCCTGTATTCCGATATCTGCGGGGTCCAGGATGACGTCAGCTCGACCAACCGGTACGCCAGTACGTCGGCAACCTGCGGATCCGAATCACATTCATCAGAGCTTTCTCGAAGAGCACAGTCTTCCTTTGCAAAAGCGCGCATCAATCTCCGTCTTGACATCAGCTGACGTAGTGGTCCACAGATTCTCCCTCGCTCCTTGGGAGCCAAACAACGTTGCAAAACTGCGGAGCATTTGGCGTGCCTTTGTACGTTATCCGTCCGACTTACTGACGGCGAACAGAAGAAACAATCTCCTCAAGAGAGGAAGTAGGTTCCAGAGCAAGGAACAGGCAGGAAAGCACACCTGCGGCGCTCGACCCAGGTCCGGCAGCTTTTCGTACTCTTCCGCGGTCCTCGTCCGCCGAAACTCTTCCGCTCCCCTCTCAATCTTCTCAGTGATCTCCGCAGCGGCCGGCTCCGGAGGGGGAACCTCCGCCCAGCCCGTCGTTTGCTGCCACGTGTCGTCCTTGTACCGGTCCCTTTTCCTCCCCTTCTGCAAGCCCCACTCCTTACCGCGCTCTTTGGAGAGGGGCTGGCCGGACGCGCCGAAGCCGACGTTGAGAACGATCTGCGCCTCGAAGCTTTCAGATTTTAGGATTCATTCTGCAGGAATCAGGCTTCTCGTTCCTCAGTTCGGGACCTGGAGATTGGTCGTGTGTGTTTGGGAGTCGGAAGCGACCTCCGCATTCTGTCCTTAATATAGATATATGCTAAAGCGAATACGGATTCATCTACAGACGAAGGGAAGGAATGCACCCCTAAAATGCTACGAAACGAACGTTGAATCCGAAAAATGAAATTGTTCAAGGAAAGGTCTCTCTCAGGCGAGACTGGGGGGAAGGCCACGATTAGAGTCCACGACTGTTAACCGCAATCGCCTACGAAGTCGGCTTACCGGTGGTCGATTGGCAGCTCGGGTTCTCGGAGCTCCTTCCTCTGCGCACGAAACAAAGCGATTGTCAAGACTCGTCGCAAGGGCCAAGATTCGTCGCAAGGGCATCCGTTGAAACGTTTTGAAGGGTACAACACGCGCTGGAAGCAAAGCCGGATACTGGTGGGTCGGACCTCAAGCGGAACCTGCCACGGTCAAGCGTTTCCACGGTCGAGCGTTTCCCCGCAGCTCACATTGTCGGGTCAAAGAGATAGATCCAAACTCTCTCCCTTCACAAATCGTGCTTTACGGAGGGAAGCAGCTGAGATAGACGCACGGAAGTCAAGAAAGCGTGGAAAAGGAGGACCTACGGGCGCGGTAGAAGAGAAAGCTGACTGCTCACCATTGTCAGAATCGCCGAACACAACGTGTTGGCTTGCAGCCGGCCTTCTTGCCGGGATCGCCCCCATCGCGGCCGATCGGTCTGCCTCCACAGCCAGCGAGACGGACGAGACCTGCATAAACATATCGGCCGCCATTCTTGTATGATTGGGCTTTCATTGGGTTTCGCGTTAACCAGATTGTTTTTGACTTGATCCCAAAGTCCTCAAATCTCTAGCCTCTCATCTCCGTTCCAGTGTTCAACACGGACGATCGCTCCAGTTCAAAGGTGTACCAACCATGTACCTCTCGTGCATGGAACCATCCTGATACTTCAGAGGGCCGCAGGGAAGCTTTCACACCTTTCGGTTGACGCCACTTCCCAAGTACCATGATATTTGAATCGTAGTATAAAAGTACGATTGGGGCAAAAGCTTCAAAACGATTGCTGCTAGAGGTATCATTGTAACATGCCTGGCAGAAAGAACGAGTCGACAAGATGCCAAATAGCTCTTTGAACCATCCCCTAGCTGCGTCTCTGAAAGTTACAAGAATGGACTTGATGCGCCCTGAAGATGTTTGCTGATACGAGGGAAAGACAGCAACGACCTACTACTACTCGCGTGTAACACAAACAACGCCAACGAAAAATTCTCAATGGAAACCTGTGACCCGAAAGGCCTTGGATCGCCCATACTCTAAGGATTGAGAACCACAGACGGGGCTCTTACGTTGTGCCTTGCACGAGTATCGCCCGGGCCTGACGTCACTGCCTCAACATCCCCTGCAGCGGCGGCCTCTCTTGCCAACCGAGCATACCGGCGCTTGGCCGCTTTCCGCCGGGCGCTGCGGCTAGGTGTCTGAAAAAGGAGAGAGTGGGTGACGTCAGCACGTTTCAGAAGCGAGACGTCGGCTGATGTCAGCAGGTCTTCAGAGGATGCAGTGAGCAAAATGTTTTGACCGGAGCGCTTTGATTCAGCGCCAGTGCAGGGTCTCGTAGGGGGACCAGCTACCTATACCTGCACAGCTGTAGAAGTTATAGAGCAGGCGAGTCCGATGTCGACTGTTGGGAGCGTTTGGAGTCCTTCGCAAGTCAGACTGGTGGCTTAGAAAATGTGGAGGATCGATGTGGTTCATTCGACTCCAGTTTCATTGCAGAGGGGAACAGAGGAAGATATTGAAGGAGTTTTATGAAGAGAACATCCAACAAGTCAACGTGGTGGTTCCATCGATTCTTGCGAATGGGGATCCTGCCGTACGGACTCAACCAAAACTTAGCACCCTTTCCAAGAGCTTCGATAGGATCCCAGACAAGAAGGAAAACTAAAGAGCAGGATTCCGAAGGGAACCCATCAGTGCGGAGGAACGTCCTACCGCCTCGGCAATATCTGCGTCCGCAGCCATGTCTTGCTTTCGAACTTTTCCACAGAAATGGCGCACCTTCTTTTCTTTCGGGGGAGCCTCGCCCCCTGACTCAGATTCAGAACTCGACTCGTCTTCCTCTGCGTCCGTCTCTTCCCGCGGAACCACCTTCTTCGAAACGCTCGGCTCCGCTGTCTTCCCTTCCGGAGGCTGGCGCACACTTGGCAGCGGGCCCTCTTCATTTCCTTCCTCCGCTTCTTTCAAAGTTTTTTTCTTCCCCCTCTGAAGTGCTTTTCCTGTCAGCTTCCCGTTTGGCAAACCTACCAAACTCGGGCCGGAACCCTCTGCGGAACCCTTCCCGAGAGTCGCAGCTTCTGGGACCCACTCTAGTTGCAAAGGCGCCTCGCTTTGCTCCCGTTCCAGAGCGGCCTCGTCTTCGCCCTTCCGCCGTTGCTTCTCCTTCTTTCGTTCGCCACTCTGCTCCATCGGAAAATTATCAATCCGAGCCCCTTCTTCCCGATCCCCTTCCTTTTTGGACCTTTTCTTCCTTTTCCTGCCAGTCTCCAATTTCGTGGGAAGGCTCCCTGCATCCCCTTGGTTAACCTCCAAACCGCCCTCCCCGTGAAGTTCCTCGTGCCTTCTTCTAGAATCTTCGACTCCATTTGACAACTTACTATCGACCGAGACTCCTCCCTTCACGAACTCTCCCGTCCGAAGACAAGGTTCCTTTTGGATCTTCGCGGCCTTAACCTTCTTCTCCTTATATTGAATCAGAAAGTTCTGTGAAGCCTCTCCAGGCCCCTCTTCCGCATCACCATTCTCTCGCTGCCTTTTCTTTTCTTTGTCTGACCCTGCTACTAGAACATTCCGATCCTCTTTTCCCTTCCCTCCGTGTTCCATCTTCTTTCTTTCCCGATTTTCCTTCAAGCTATGCGCTTCGAGACTGTGGGGACCCTCGATTGCAAGCATCTCTGCCAGACCCTCAATGGCAGGGAGCTCTGGTTTGAGGTGATGAACCCTTACCCTGCAAAAATACAGAGTAGGAAGAGGGAGTCACCGACCTGACAGCCGGACTCAGAAAACTTGAGGGAGCGATCTCCGGCCTCGAGACTTGTTCTTGAAGAAGTACACTGGGCAGATCTCGACGGAACAATATATACGACGAAGCTTCAGAGTGGTGAAATAGTAGAGTAGGCAGACTTTACTGCGAACACAGATTTTATCTACCGATTCAGAAGAATACCTCGCCTCAGCAGGAGCAAATGAGATATTGACATAGTACAACAATCATTTGCAAAGGATAGTGTCACAGGGAACTTTGGCTGCTAACCAGGTTCGATAACCATAAACTTCAGTCTGGTTCTTTCCGCGTTGTAGCCATGTTTAAAACCTGGTTACTGCTCGAGTCTGGTCATTGGACAGTTAACCAGCTTCGAACCAGCCCGTAACCGAATGTGGTTAACAGCCAAAAAACCCGACATGTCACCACATAACTCAGAGGGATAGACAGGTTTTTGCCATACCTGACTGTGTCAGCATCACGTATAATGGCGATGTCTTCATGCAGGGGTACAGGAACTCCACCAATCTGTACCAGTAAGAGAGATAACCCCAGAAAACTGAGAGGGATAACCCCAGAAAACTGAGAGGGATAACCCCAGAAAAGAAAGAGGGATAACCCCAGAAAAGTAAGAGAGATAACCTCAGAAAAGTATGAGAGATAACCCCAGAAAAGTCAGCTAACTCGATGCCTTGGCTGCCTCCTTTTGAGTGTTGTGCAAACCTGCCACCGTCAGGTACTGCAGGATTCGTATCTCAAAAGCAGGTGCCGAATCATTCAGAACATCATTGCATTACCTGCAGACACACCCACGCTCAGCACTCCTTAACAATCATCTTAGCTATCACAGTTACAATACTTTGGAAACACAGCACAAAAACTTTCTTCTGGTTTGAAAGCAAAGCTTTGAGTATATTCTGCTAGAAAAGGAGGGCCCTCTGTTCTTATTGCCCTTTCTACACCGCCCTTCTTGTTTCACTTCTACAGCATCTTTCGTGTCTCCCATTTTCTTTTTGAATCCCTTGTAAGTGACTCCATGAGCTGCTGAATGCAACTAGTTGACGATAGTTGACACTCATATTGGCAGGTTGCTAGGAAGAAGAAGTATCTTCAAAGACTACTGCATTCTCGAGGCAGTATCAGAAATCTCCTTCTCTTTCAACTCCAACAAAGATGAGGATTATTCTCGAGAATGTTCCAGCACATAGAACACATACTGCGGGACACACTTGCGGCCTGTCAACCTTACCTCCAGCGAAATCCCTGCAGATGCGCCATAATCAAGCCGAACACATTTCTCCTCCAAGTAACCGGCGAGATCTGAGACCGTCTTCAGGTGGCGCGGCAGCAAAATCCACAGTCTCTGCATCAGGGGGTTCACGCGGCATTCCTCAGAAAACTCGACGATAATCCTGATTGGAGGACTGACTGAATGCTCCCCCATGGTTGCAATCTTTTAAAAATTGTTGCCGTACGAGTACGTTGTCAAGCAGCTATGCTCCTTGATGAACAAAGCCGTGAGCTCTCGGGAGAGCAAAACCTTGAGACAGACTCAACACCAGAGCTTGCATACTGTATGCGCCGGCCAAGTTACCGCAGTTCATTCCCTTCCACCATTGTTCTGTTCATCTGTTCCACTTCAAGCCCACTGCTCTTGCCTCTCGAGAATATTGCTAATTCTTTGCCCAAAAATAATGCCTTAGCCAGGAAACGTTCCAACCCGTCTGCCGTTTGTTGGATCCGGGTGCACTTTTGGTCGATGAAGTCACTGACGCCCATTGCCGGTTCTCAATACCGAGCTGCCGCGAAATAGAATTGCAAAATCACTAAAATAAGATCTTTTTTGCAACTCTACTTGTACTTTAATCACAATTTACATCATGAGTGCTCTGGCAGTCTGGCTAGCTTCAGCATTTCCTTTCTGATGAGTGTGAAGCGATCATGGCGGCTGCATTGAACAGCTTTCAACACCAGCTGGGACTTCGCTCCGCAAATCAGGTCGTTGGCAGGCAGATCAATACACCTCGTAGCCTGTTGAAGTTGGATGTTTTGTCTGCCGGGCTTACGACAAGGAGAGCAGGCGCTTTGACTAGAAGCACCCAATTTGCAGGACAACGAACAGGATTACGCACTGCATCTTCCTTCAGCTCCGATCACTGCAGTAGCTCACAGACCGACTCAAATAGCTTCTGCATTAAGACACAGAAAAGTCTGCAGCTGCTAGAATCTCCTTCCAGCTTTCATCACTTTGCTGTCGGGCGTGGGTTGAAGAGATTTGAGAACAAGAAGCGTTCGACTCGCCAATTTGGTGTTGCCATGGCTGGTAGTACAGACAATGCCATAAAGCCAAAGAAGGTCCTGTTTGTGTGTTTAGGTGAGGTTTTTCTCTCTTTTCAAATAAGCACAGGCGGTCGTATCGTTTTGGAGTTCTTTGAAAGTAGAAGTGACTTGCGAATGCCCCTCTGTTTGTTGATGTGCTGGTCTCCTTCCGGAAACAGTTCCAGACCTATTCTGCTCTCATGCTCTTGTTGACCTTTCCCCTCTGTGGATCAATAAGAGGCTGGGCTAGTAGGTTGCAGAAGTTACATCGTTCTATGTGCATCTAAGTCTGGAACTGCAATGTGAACCGGGCAAACAGTAACTTTCCCTATATCCTTTAAGAAAGAGATTCAGATTATAGACTCTGCAAAAGGCTCCTCGAGGGATGTCTTTGAAAGCAGTGGTAAAAGATCAGAGCCTTTGCCAGCTGGGAAGTGCGACCTTCTTTCGAGACTCCCATGCTCTCCGGTGCTTGCTTCGCAATCATCCGTCAACGTCTTCTCTCAAGGCAACTTAACGAGGCCTACAGATGCACCATCGGAGGGTTCATAACTGCATCATTGGAGGGTTCATAACAACCTAGAGGAGTTTGAGTACCTGCTTTCCAAACGACCATGGTTGAATCAGACTCACTTGGTGGTGCAGGTAACATCTGCAGGAGCCCCACTGCAGAGGCTGTGTTCCGAGCTGCGGTTGAGAAGAGAGGCCTCAGTGATGAGTTTGAGATTGATTCTGCGGGCACGATTGACTATCATCAGGCAAGCACTTATGGTGGCAGGTTTCATCAATGCTACAAACAGTTACAAAGCTGAATAAAAGTTTCAATGTCACAACACATTGCACAATCGTACCTTGTTGTGGTGGACGTGCCGCAGTCTTAGGTGGTACATGTTCTGTCTTGCATTTCTGTACTCCTGGAGAGATATGAGCCTTCTAATGCTTGCATTAAGTTTACTGCACGAAACAATGCTTGTGAACCTGATTCGCGGCAGTCCTGATCTGGCGCCTTCACTTCACTGTAGCAAACCAAGACACGATCATTGCGTCTTGTCAGTTCCCTGTCCCTTAGATAGAAGGTCAGATCTAGGGTCAACACTGTGTAAGATTGGAATGGACAGATGCACGTACATGCGGTGGGTAGAGGAGAGAAGCTGAGGCTGTGACACTGAACACGGAGACTTGAGCTTAAGCTAGAGCTTGCCGTATATACAAGGGCGACTTTCTTGCTTCGAAATCCTCTAAGATTTTGAAGCATCTCAGTGGGTCGTAGTTATGGATCATGCTCACAAATTGGCACTTTTATCTGCAGGGCGATCCAGCAGACGGGCGTATGATGAGGCACGCGGCCAAAAGGGGCGTCAAGCTGACGTCCATTTCCCGGCCAGTTGTGCCGTCAGACTTTGAGAAGTTTGACGTCATTCTGGCCATGGACGACAATAACGAACGTGAGCATCTCTGGACATATGTGCAGCTCAAACAAAGCACTTTGCTGGCAACCGATCAGAACCCGGTTGTCATTTTCATGCCCTTGCATGCAAGACAATCGAGGAGCCGAAACTGTTGTCTTGACCTTCAAAGCGCTAAAGTTCGTCAGGGAGTCGATTTCGCCCTAGCTATATTCCCTACTTAAGAACTACAAACCAATCTCCGAACCCCTGATGCAAACAGGTCATTGCACAGATTAAGTTAGTTCCGGATTGGAAGCATAGCTATACATAGTCACAGTCTGACCTAGGCCGACTTGTCGAAGTTGTAACCTGTTGTCGCAATGTCCTTGTATTTCTGACAGATTTCAGGCGCTGCGGTCTGTGTGTAACAATGAAGCTGGGGCAAAAAATGCCAGCTGACCAGCTGTACGGCATGCAGCCATCGAACTACCTTAAATGTCGGAAGCATACATCCTGTGCTACGAATCAGCAGGAATACGCGCTTTTTGCTGTCAGAAGCGGCGTTCATTGTGTTCACTTTTTGATGACTTTGCTTGCGAGTCCCGTGCGAGTTTCCTCAAGACGTTCTATGATGTGGGTCAAGTGTTTCACCTCGTCTAGACGAAGATAATAAGAAGCGTTTTAATCTGATGACAGAGACCCGTGATATGCATCCTGCAGGGGATCTTAACAAGGCCTTCGATAAGTGGAGCTCCCAACGGCCCCTGCCCGAGTCGGCCCGAAGTAAAGTGCGGCTCATGTGCAGCTACTGTAAAAAGTTCGACGATAAAGAGGTGAGTCAAAGCACGAAGGACAGCAGGGTTTTGTGTTGGCAGGGTTATGCTTGATTCAGGTTCAGCCATCTGTCACGGCCGTCGATCCTGCTACATCGGATGTCAATCCAGCATGCAAAGGTGAACCATGGATACTTACATGACGTCCTTCGAACGGGGCTTGCTCGTGGAAAGGGTTCCTAGAGGCCTTCCGTCCCCGTGTCCGCCCTGTTCGGGATGCAAGTGTGCATTCAAAGGGCCATAGCTGCGACTGCAATGTTGTCCGCCTACAACCGTCGATGTTTCAACAATCAGTGCAAAAGGAAAGCGCTCCACTTTACTTTGGAGCATCGTGGCTGACGTCATAAGCTCGTCCAGGTCCCGGATCCCTACTACGGCGGCTCGGAGGGGTTTGAAAAGGTGAGGACTCGGTTTTAGGACTCTGTGTCCATCTAGAGTGCTCTGAGGCATGTCCCTCAAGGTTTGATACGCCCCTGCCGCAACGGTGCGTGCCAGCAGTCTTGGGCCTGCTCAAGCTGATGCGGAGGTCTGGGGATCGTTTCTCGTTCCGTCCAGTCTGGGTGATTCTTTCCCGGCTGCGTACAACATGCTGCCATCGGTCCTCCGGACGAAACACATTCACCAACGAGATGTCGCGTTGAGGTTATCTTGTCCGTCCAAGCTTGTAAGCAATCCATCTCGTCCCTTTCAAACGGCACCTCGCTCCGTTGGGTCGATTGAGACCCGTCTGCTCGTTCTGTTGTGCTTGGGTTTTGTTTTTGCCCCTGCAATAATACGTGGCAAAGATGTGCAGCTCTGCGGTCAGGGACGGTTTGAACCATGCTTCTGCTCGCTACGTACGGCTTGCTGTTGCCTGACATTCGTGTTGTATCAGCATTGTACAACGTGACAGACTCTCTCACTTGAGTGGTGACAAAGGTGAGGTGGCAAATCAAATGCGTGCAACGTCTCGGTAACGTAACGTTAATCCTTGGTTTTGCCTCGTCTATTTCCAGGTCCTCGACCTCTTAGAAGATGCATGTGGCGGCCTCCTCGACTCCCTACTTGCTTGAACATTTTCGGGTTGCGGGTCACGCTCGTGCTGCCTTCGCCAGGGAGAAATCGAGTACGTCAAAGGAGGTCATTAGAGTATTGGGCTCAACATTACAATAATACTGAGTGAACCGCTGAAGCAGCTTGAAGGCAGAACCCACATCCTGATCGATAACGAATCCGCATGGCGGGGTCGTATGCACACACTGAAGGCAGAATCAGGCCATGGTCTCTCATGGCATGACGCGTACTTGGATTTGGCATTGCCACCAGATGATGGAGTAGAGTCAGCTAGGAATTGAAGTTTGACTTGGCCGCATGCGCATTTGATGCATTGCAATTCCTTGAATTCGGCAGAAAGTCAACAGAGTGCATTGGATGTACAATGTATACTACGTGTGGCCGTAGTATTCTCTAGGTACGTCACTGACGGGAACCAATCAATCAGTTTTGACGTACCATGCAGGAGCCCGGCATGCATGCATGAGCCTGGAGCTCATGCGCCAAAGATGGGAGTTTATCCGTATATATAGAGCTCCTTTTATGATCAGATGCCGCAAGAAAGAAAATTTCGTTCTGATTTTGACACACGAACTCTAGCGAGAAGCAAACGCGGGATACATAGCTCACTTTTGCAACTTTTGGGCCACTTGACTCAGACTTGGCTACGGTGAGTACGAAAAGAGACCATCAATGAAGGTCTGGCATGCTTGAAAGTGAGTTAGATTTCTATGAGATCTGCTGTGCACATATGGACTCCATAGCACAGTATGCTCGTGTGCTCATTGCTGGACTCGAACTGGGCGGCAGGCTATGCATGCAGCATGAGCATGAGATAAAATTCCGAATCCGCCCGAGTTCCGGATCCGCCCTTGTTGATCAGGGCGGAATCACACAGTGGCGGAATCATACAGCATGTATGCGCGCGCATGCAGCTGCAGTTCCCACATGCACAGGCCCCTGCATGGGCCTCAGCCTCATGCCAATGGGCTGCAGCAGCCCAGGCCATGTATCATTTTATTTTAATACATTGGGGCAGGGTCCATGGCGCCTTTAGGGTCTGGAGATTCGCACAGAAATCACGCACAGGGGGCCCACAGGGGGATGGCAGCCACTGGCAGCCGCTCATATCCATGCAAAAGTCCGCTTGTTGAACAATAAGTTCACGCGCACGTCGTCAACTTTTCTTGTTCCTGGTGACCTGTCCTTTTTTAGTGCACCACATTTGCCGGAACAAGCTTCGTCTCCTGGTGTCTGATGGAAGGAGCTAATGCGTCAGCACAGCCTGCTGTTGTTACACAGACAGTCACTGCAGAACCGTCCGGCGCTGCGGGACACCATCAAGGTGAGGAACGCAGAAAAGGTAGATGTCGCTTTTGATCTGTCGTGACGTCCCTTGGTTTTCTGCCTGTATCAACTGCTTGATCGATGTCTTACCTTCAGCTCTATCACATCTATGGGTCTTGGGTGCTCAGTATGATATCGCTGACTTGCCGCTCGCGATCTAGCTTCAAAGACTGCTGAAGAGAGCTTGGAGGAGCTGCAATCAAACAAAATTTATGAGACTGCGCTGAAGAACTTCGCCTCAATATCATTCGTGACACAAAAAAATTGCTTTGCCCAGAGGAACGTGTGACTCTGCGGCTAGCACCGAGAAGGAAGAAGAAGGTGTCATGGAAAGGGGACACCATCGACAATGAGCACCTCAACAAGAAAAGCTCAAAAAGTGAGTCCTTTCTGCGGAAGACTCTCTGTCAGCAGATGATCACGTCACTTTAAACTTCCTCGTCTGCCACTGCTGTTGGTATGTCACTTTCGTCCATGATGGCATGATAAAGTATCAATAACGATAGTGGTGTAGTCTTCATTGATTCGCTTCATGCTCATTTTCCAGCTTCGACTTGACAAGTCGATGTTTCAGTGAACAGGTGCGATATCATCAGATGACTGCCTTTCTCCAGAATCATCTTATCCTATTTGCAATCTCGCCAAGTTCTGTACAAATTTTGGATGCGATCATCTTGGATTTGGAATTGTCCGAGAATTACAGAGGGCAGCAAGGCCTCCAAAGCAGGCAGGAACTGCCTGAAGACTTGAAGGTATTCTCTCCTCTTATGCAGAATGCTGCATCTTTCAGAAGCAAAAGGCCTTTGATGAAAGCAGTAGTGACGACAACTCAGATCATGAGTGTGAACACCATCAACACAAACCTCCCGACAGAGATAAAGAACCTGTGCGTGAGTCTGAAGCAACATCGTAAGGAGCTCATCATTGTTCTGCGGAAACGAAAAGCGAGGTCCTCGGTCATAGTCAAGCGGATCGCCAATTTCAATTATTCGTGATGATCAATAATCGAGATCACCTTCAACAGTTGTCAATGCTCGTTGCGGTGGTGTTCGATATGCACAGTCAATTTTTTTAACATCTAAGGATGGAAATTCAGTCATCAAAGCCTGCGGTCCGGTCATCGGGCAGCTTTTGCTATTGTTGATGAGCGAGGCGCCATCATTAGTGCTAGTTTAGTGTGAAGCGGGACTTCGAGTGAATGATAGAGTGGAGAGAACCTCTCACGATTACGAACTGATACCACCAGATGGCCAAAGGCTACTTGGAAAGTCATGGAGCCCAGGAATTTCAGTGGGTGTATAAAAAAACGAGCCAGCCGCTCACAAACACCGTCCGGATGGTGATGCAAATTGTCAGCTTAGTATAGGTATTAGCTCGATTGCACGGTTGCCCAACAAGATCTCATGCCGCAAGGGCGCGGCCGCACGTTGACATGTCACTCTGTAATCATGTTAGTACCAAGTCATGTTGCATACTGAATCCTGATTAGTATACAGCCGCCTGTGTAGTAGTCACGGCCCAGGACTTCGAGCAGCCGCATCACGTACATATGTTGTCCGGTCGTTGACGTTTTCGTGTTCGATTATGTAGTAAGTGGAATCATGATGGGCCTGTTGCATGACAAGAGACGTAATATGCAGCATGGGGTTTTAAGTTATGTGTCCACTGCAGCAGCCTTGTGGCATCCTGATACTTGCGGGAGTACCTCAAAATGGCGTCGGATGACTGACAATATTTGCGATCATGTACTAGATATGTTCAGGCCACAACCTGCACTTCTGATGGAGCTTTCCGAAGTAGATTCAAGGTGTCAATACCCTTGTTCCTGTACATCATTATGATGGTGCAGTTCAGGAACTTAACAAAAGCGATGTACGTGTCGCTGCACTATCGGGGCCCACTCCAAGCAGATCCTCAAATTGGATGGACACAGAAGTGCAGCCAGCACGTGATGACGACTTCTAAGGAGGTTCACATGATCGACCTGACTTTTGGAAAAGGGTGCAGGATTACCACCATGTGAACCACCCTTCTCAAGTAGAAGGCAGTGACTCCACTCGACATGGGACGATTCAGAAATCAAGGTATAAGCTTGTCTCGTAGGAATCCAGCTTACAAATCGGGCTCTTTGAAAAGCAAGTAATGTCCACAACGACATCCAAGTAATCGTAACACTTCGACTGCTCAGTCTATTGTCAGTATCGTACACAAGCATCCGACTCAGGATGCATCCGTTTCTCTTACCTAGCAGCTTTACAACATGTACAAAGAAACAACCAGCGGTGGTCACACTGCTGGTATGTTTGCAAACGAGAAACCCTTGTACCCTTTGTATGCTGCAGGCAGATACGAAGCTGCAGTCAGAGAATGCTCCACCTTGTCCCAAATTTAAGTTGCCTTCACAGAAGCGGTAAATGGAAGAACTCTCGTCTTCACACTTCACAACCACCCAACCTTTTGAGGCATCCCTGCGACGTAGAGATGGAGCTTTTCTAACCAAAGCATGTTTCACCTGTCGAGCAATACAAACAGTCAAGATGAAAGTTCTGTAGAGCATAACGGGGCACTGCCTAAGGATTCCTTATTTGTAGACATGTAAACGAGCCACTTACCATAGTACGCTATTCTCGTTTCGTAGAATCCCGGCAAGAAGAGGAGCCCTCCCAGAATGGTGAAGACAATACCTGCTCATGGATACGATATAAGTCAGCCGCTAGAAACCATTCTTCCTGCAGTGGGCTTTCAATAAGACGTTAACAAACTCGCCAGAGTGCTTCAGCGGCTAGGCTCAAGCTGAAGAATGCTCTGTGCTGCTTATTACCCCAGAAAACTCGCTGCCCTCATTCCTTGTTGGCCTCTCTATGGGGCCAGAATCAGTCATGTTCTAAAAGCTGTTTGTTAAAAAGGCTGTTCAGAACTCAGAAGCTTCTCTGGTTGATTTAACAGTTTGATCCGGACTAAACACTTCTGTGGCCTAGTCTTTCTGAAGGGTAGAAATGTCGAACAAAAGTTGCGACCAGAAAACAGACATTCTCTGCGGTGAAACTTGCGGACTTGGTTACACCAACCAAACAATTTGGCAGCTCGCGGCTTAAGGCCAACTTTGAAACAGCTGGGAAGAACGTCGATAAACTCACGGGCAACCGGCGTGGGCAGCAGAAGAGGCACAAGATATGAACTCATGTCGGACAACAAATATGAAACCACTTGAATGACTAGAGGACTTCTAAACCACTCCTATAAGTCCGTGTGTCTACGCAAGGTGGGGAGTAGATACGGCCTTACAAAATGAGATGGGCACACTCTGAGCGGCCGTCCGCTTGAACATTATCACATTTTCGCCCCACTCCTCCTTCAGAGCATTTCTCCACATACATCTTGTGAGGTTTAAATCAAACAGAATCACCAGGTTCCTCACTACATCTGTAACCACAAAGTTCAATCTACTCCTTAGAAAAAATGTTTGCGGCAAAGACGTTTCACAGGCCCATTATGCATACACTTCAAGAGGCAAGCATTGAAGCGGCCTCTGAGTTTGCCTCGCATGAAGGTACTTTGAGAGGAGACCAGCCATAACAGGCACAAAAGGAAAGGGCTTCAATGTACTGAAACGTGGCCATAAGGAACTGCAAAACGCAGCTGCGAAAAGTCAAATGGAAAGTGGCCCACACAGCAATGTTGCAAAAAAACATTTAGAAGACTCCGCATCTCATAGCACGCCCTAAAGGTGCCCGAACCGAACTTACCGTGTAAATGGTCCCCCCCTATTTTATTGTAGATCATCACCATCCCGATCACAATGCCAGCTGCGCCCAGTGTTAACAGGCCCACGGCCAGGAGAATCTCTTTGTAGGGGGGTCTGTGGTGGACAATGAGGGAGCCATTCTCGTCAAAATTCTGCATGGAATAGAGCCTCTCGATACCCGTCATGTTGTGCCCTCCTTGCAACACCCTTGGAAAAGATACTGCAGAAAGCACTCTAGTTCTGGAGGGCAGCGCCCAAAAGAGCAATGTGAAAAGCGTACGTAAGTCTGAGATTCTTTGCGGCAGATCGACCTGCGTTTCAGACGAGCAGTGGAAAAGCTTTTCCAGTGATGCCTGTGCTCTACCCGCGCTCCTTTACTGCTTTCGGCAGCTCACGACCTTCCTTCTACAGAAGCTTCCGCCACGACAATAATGTCAAAAGTTCCGAAGTCCCTGCCGTCCACCTCTTCACTTGTCAGCCGCTATCTTCGCCTCAATCAGAAGTATGAAGGGGCCGCAGCGTAGTCCAGACTCCAGACTCCAGACTCCTGGACAAACTATTAAGTCGATTTCTTCTGATTTTGCAACTATATAATCATTCTTTAATAGCTGTCGGATCAACATGATCGACGACGTGCAATGATCCAATTTTGTTAAAGCCTCCAGAAACTACGGGACCAGATTGCAGCAAGCTTACAGGCGAATGAGATCTTGCCACGTTTGATATTTCGCGCCACTTACGATTCGCGACGCCGCCATGGCGCAAAGACGAGCTCAGATCTACACGGTACAGTGACAATCTGAGACTGTAGCCCTCTGCTAACACTGCAGAGCCAACTTGGGGATCACTGTTGGACATTGAGCACAAAAGACAGCAACAGAGGGAGGAGTCCTCGCGCAATAGAAACTTGCGGGCTCCGACTGGGACCGCCAAGCGGGTGGTGCAGCAGCGGCAGCCGCATTGGGCGCCCGGGAAATACTTGATTAGATCCGCACATTGCTCAAGTGTACGGTCTGCCAATGAGAATGCCGCAGCAGCTCTCCCCCTTCGACCTGCTCCCAGACGAAGTTCTGGGCAGAATACTGACGGAAGTGGGTCGCCGCCGGGGTGGCGATGAGTACTCATGCGAGTATCACGTCCAGGACTTCCTGCTGGCCTCCTGCGTCTGCAAGCGCTGGTCCACACTGTGCTTCCAAGTCAAAGATGTCGACTGGAGCTTTGACACTCTTGTGGAGGCCTTGTCGCTAGTGAACTTCGTCCAAGACGACAGGGTATCTCTTTCGCGTCTAGGTCTCCATGCCCAGCTTGTGCGCCTACCTACCATTCAGCTTCCTTTGCTGTTCAACGCACTCTTCAAGTCCAGGTGTCCTGCCCGAATGGACGTCATTCTCGTCGATGGCATTGATACAATGCAAGCGGCCTCGGACGAGGCCTCAGACCTTGGAGGCCTGCTCAACCTTTTGCTCGAATGCCGCAAGCTGGAGGAACTAACCATTGACGGGCGGGGTCTTTGCTTTGATGGCATTGCGAGGATCAGCACCGATGTCAGCCAAGCACTCAACATCCGGACGCTCAGCCTCGTAAAGGTGGAGGTCACGGCACTCTGCCTTCGAAAACTCTGGAGTGAGTGCAAAAAGCTAGAAAGTCTGTGCATTACAAGGCTTGCAGCGGGGCCAGCTTCTTCTGGGGTAGTTGCACTGGAGTCCAACGTGATCACGCGCCTTTGCTTAGTGCAATTAACGGGGGCAGGGTTCTCAAGCATTAGGATCAAAGCACCTCGTTTGATCCGTCTAGAAACAAACCTGGAGGTCCGGAGCCTTATGACGCCAACCTTGGAGAAGCTTGTTCTGGGCATCCGTCAGATGACTAGCCCGCCGACCTTTTGGACGGGAGCAGGCTTGCTAAGGCACCTAGTTCTAAAAGAAGCCCCGGGAAAGTTTTCGGACGCTAGTAAATGTTGGACGGTTTTGATAAAACCCCTCCTGCAAAGGTTTTCCGGCCTGGAGACTTTGGAGCTCGCGAGGCTCCATGGTGTCGCAGAACGGAGTATTGTCCCTATGAACGAGCTCGTCGCAACCTTAGGACCTGAGTTAAGGTCTCTGCGGTTATCACATGGGGCCTTGCACTTACTGGGGCATGCGACAACACCGCTAGGCACTCACATCAATCTGCGAGACTTGGTTGTCGAAGTGGATTTTGTAAGTCTCTCTGCTTTCCTCAAAGTGACGGCTCTGAAGAAAGCCTTCCCTTCTCTACTTCGAGTCGAACTACAGACCGACCTAAACGAGATGAATCTAGAGCCGTCACGGTCAGAACTGGCCGAGCTCGGTTTCACGGCCGTCCATAAACAAGGATACCCGAAAAAGTGCAGTTGTTGGTTCTGCTGAGTCAAGTATGGCGACAAACGTCTTGAGCGGACATTCAATGGCAAGAGCTGGAGATCAGCCCAGCTTCGCTCCTCGAGTGCAGATTGGTTGTTTGAACGGGTCCAGTAACCAGTTGGACTGGATACACCAACATGCAGCCACTTGGTTGAATGGGGATGGACGACAGAAGTTTGATGGTTCAGTGCACGCAGCATTTCGTATGATCGCCCTAAGAATTCAAGCATCATATGATATGCTTGCCAATCGGTTTGTTAACCCTCACTGGCACATATGCAACTGTTTGAGATACTCAAGTGTTCGACTTGCATGTGCGGGGGCGCATGAACATACCTGCAGGCTGCCATGGAGATGACATGACATGCAAGACGATGCATGCAGATCTCCTCAGTGTATCATGCACCCACGGGCCCAGTACTGTCTCCAACAACATAAGGACGGTCACATGTACCTTGATGATGAGACCAATCCTACAACAACCGGGACCGGACGCGCAAGATCATTCGTCAAAATGTTCATAGCTAGACTAGCTATATCTCGCTTTGGATGCGAGCGGCCGGGGCAACTGGTAAGCATGCATGTAGCTATACCGTAGCTTATATGGCGAGATCATTATGCGACGCGGGTATTTTCAACTCGAATCGGTTGCATGGTAAAGTGGAACACGGAGGGCCATCATGAAAGAGATATGGTGCAATATATTGGACTTGGGCCGGGCATTTGGAAATCAACTTGCTTACAGTTCGGGCCATCTTTGGTACATGTTTGTCTAAGGCCGCCACACCTGACAAGGCATCAGTCGGTGTGCATTACGGCATCATGCATGGCGTTTATGCATGCGCCATCGCATAGAGGCCCTGGCCTACAAGATGTAATCGCATGGACCAATTCAATGATTGTGACGCCACACTTCGGCCTACAAGGGATATTGGCACATAGTAATTCGTCCAACGGCACCGTTGCTGTGGCACGCTTGAGTAGCCCTTTGTAGTTCTCTGTAGTTGCCATATGCCGGACTCTCAGACACGTCGGTACCCCACCGTGACCGGATAAGGAGGGAGCGACGAAACTTGTAACTGGACCATTGTTGACTCAACCCACTTTGTCCACGTTGCGCCTCGGGTTCACAAACACCTACAGACTTTCTTCGTACGCGGCCCAGCCAGCTTCCCGGTACTCCTTCGCAGCCTTTGCGGGGTCGGCCGCCTTGATGATGCCACGTCCGACGATGATGACGTCACTCCCTCGCTCCCCGATGACCTGCACGCGAGGACCACAGGCCCTTGCTCAGCATCGTCACTGCTGATACCAGTACATAAGGATGCTAGGAGGAAGGTAAGAAGGCAACGAGGTGGATTGACCGCCACTGCTACTTCCGCATTGCTGTTGCGGAAGAAACCTTCGCCCGTAGGTTGAAGGCAGGATCCGGAGGTAAGGCGTATTGGTAACGTGTCAGATCATCTGTCCGGATGACCATGCACTCCTGCCGCCTACTTTACTTTCTCTTCCCCTACTTTAATCTACTCATTTCAGTACTTTTTGTACATTACAGTTTTGCTTCTCGTCTTTGCCTTTGAGCAGCGAGATACGACGACTCGTATCTTCGTGAGAGCGCCGACACATGAACGAACCAAGGGAGGATCTTGCGTCGCTAGCAGAGAATCGAAGATCCAAGAATCTTTATTGCATCCGAGGCGCAAAAGGCGTTTTCTTGAGAAGCGCAACGACCGAAAATTCAAGAACGCCCAAATTCAATGACTGAAGGGTCCACTCAAAGGTTGGGAGCCAACGCTAGCGCGGCAGGCCAATGTAGAACAACTGCCCGGTTTCGGGTACTCTTTCGGGTTATCAGCGGGTCAACCAAAGCCGCACAGGCCTCATCAATCGTAAGCGGCCCACAAGGGTCTAAGAGACGCGCGACCCTCAACCCTTTTTCCCTTTTTGCAGAGCAGGAAGTGGTGACCGGGAAATCATTGCTCCAGAGACGAAGATCGCGTAGATTCTTCAGGCACATGAGATAGACACAAAGCAGATGACGTATAATTAGAAAGCTCGCTTAGAGAAAAAGAGCAGTGAAGAGGCGCACTGAGGGGGAATTTTGTACTGCCGCCCCAGGACGTCGCCCCCGCTCCCAATTTGCACCGCAGGCGTCGTGCGGCAGTCTATGAAATCGAATGAAATAGTTCGGAGCTTCTAGATTATAGGCAAAGACGATAATGTCAAAAGTGCGAGACGCACCGACGAGGGAGTATTGTACTGTTGCCCCAGCGCATCACCTCCCCCTCCCATCTGCACCCCGGGCGTCATGTGGCACAGCGCAGGGTTGCCGGGACCCCACTTTTGAGTCTGAGAAATAGACGAAAACAAAAATAAAGCATACAAACAACATACAGCAAGGTGAGTAAAAAGTAAGGTTACCTACCGAGGAGGGAGTGTTATACTGCTGCCCCAACGCATCGCCCCCGCCCCCCATCTGCACCCCGGGCGTCATATGGCACAGCGCCGGGTTGCCGGGACCCCCCGGCCATGACGCGGGGTTGACGGAGATGTACCCGATGACGAAGTCGGAGTGGTCGGCGGCGATTTTGGCGGCGGCCAGAGTGTATTCACCGTTGGCCAAAGTACCCGCGGAGCTCATCTCGGCGAGGAGAAGGAGGCCGCGACCCTTGGGGAGGCCCTGTGAAGAAGGATATAGGGTTTCAGCAAACTTTAAGGTTTCACAGGCTCTTCTTGTTGTTCAGAGTGTAACGGCAGAAGAATCTATGCGGAGCTCGTCTCGGCGAAAGGGAGGAGGCCGCGACCCTGAGGGAGGCCCTGCAAAGGAGAATTTTACGACATTTCTGTTCAGATTTTGGGGCTTCCTCTGGTTCCTTGATATTGGCGGTATCGGTTCTCCTCTCTGCGGAGCTCACATGAGCGAGGAAAATGAGGACAGGCCCTGTGAGAGGCCCTATCGCAAAGAATTGTTTTGTAGATGTGAAAGTTTCCGGGTTTGTGTTGTGTCCTAGATAGAGGAATTGGTTGATGCAACTTCCGAAGGTGGGAGAACGGCGCCAGACAGACGCAGAGCAAATGTTTGCCGGAGTACTCTGAGAATGCTAGCTCTTGGTAAACAGCTTGCACATGCGCGGGTGCGGGATCAAAAAACAGCTCACAGCCGAAACGCAAGCGGCTCAGTTTTGATGATGAAGTAAAGTAGGTGCATGCCGCCACTAGTGCACATTCGGCGACATCGAAGCAGAAAGGCAAGCAAGACAGTCGCTGGAAACGCATGCCGCAAGCAGAAAGCAGCCCACCTTCGTTTTCAGTCCGTCCACGATGCCAGGCCCCGGCACCACGTGCGCGTTGGTGATGTGCGCCCAGTCTGCGATCTTGTATAAGCCCCTGCCGAGCAGCCAAAGGCATGGTTAATGTTTTGGGTTACCGGAACCGTCCGACGACCAACGAGGTCGGCAACATTGCGGGAATCCAAAGAAGGCCCACAGAAGGCCCACTGACATTGCCGTGAATCTGGAACGGGCCCGGTCCGCCGACTGTTAAGGGTCTCTGTAGTCCAATCGACGCAATCCGCGTTTTTGACTCGGCGCAACTGCCCAGACACCTTTTAAAGGCTGAAGGCTTTATGGAAACTCAATGAAGAAGCGCAGTAGGGTGGATTTCGTGATCAGCTCCGGCGACAGAGACCGCTGCTCGCCTGCTCAAAATGTATACGATGCCAAGGTAAGCCAACAATATTGGTTAAGGGAGCGCAGCTACCCGATTTATGACCAAACAAGATGTGCTGTCGGAGCTTGCATTACCGGAGATTTGCCCGTTTCGGATCAGTAAAGTCGTCGAAGACAGTGCTAAAGTTACCGTGGCGGCAGCACGAATGACCAGCGAGCGGAGCGCCAGACTCACAAACAAGCAGACGGTGCTCTTAAGTTCCCGTCGCAAGGAATCTATCATCAGCTCAACATTCGACGCCCTAACGACAGAGGGAGTCTTCCCACTCTTTCTCCCATTCTTCCTGCTCAAGCGGGCCGTCTTCCGTGACTGATAGCTGGCTCGACTAATAGACCCAGAAAAGAACGGTTCCGTCCGAATCGACCTCAGTAAATATCGGGCACAAGTTGCTTCAGCGGCGCCTCACCCCGCATATTGGTCCACGACAGTGTTTCCGATGTCGGCGAACTTTCGGTCTTCGAAGATCAGGAAGTTGTGCTTCTCGGCCAGCTGCAGGACCAAAGCCGGGCCCCGTTAAGAGACGCCGAGACGGAAGCATCCAAGAACGAAAATGTATCGGACCCGAATGAGCCCGACGAGAGACCTCGAAGGTGACTGAACATACTTCGAGCCCCACCGACTCGTCAGGCTGTCAGATGTGACCAATCGTGCTATGGAAGCATCATCCAGGCGTCGTGCAAAACTTTCGTGACTGGTTCTGGCCTTCCGCAACTAAACCGGGTCTTGCAGTCTTTGAAGGCATTCACTCACTCATTTTAAGCTTGTTTCGAGTATTTTTCAGGCATCTTTTTAGGGTGTACTTTACCTGGCAAAAGTGACGCCCAGGTTCGCTTCTTGACAATTGAGTCACATTTGTCGAATCCAGGCGGACCGCCAAAGGGTACAGAGCTCTTGCTCAAATTAGGGTTCTTGGTACAAATTCAACGGCTCCGACCGGAGTTTCAACGATTCCGACATCTACAAGTTTAGATTCGTACGCATTGGTTGGAAGGAGCGGTGACCTCACCTTCTCGATCTCGGACGTCACGGCTGGTGTCCAATCTGACAGCTGGTCCACGTGGGTCTTGAGGACAGCGATTTCAGGCCCCACCTTCGGACAAAAAGACCGATGCATGAAGTCGATGTCAGACGCAAAGGAAGCAGCGCTCAGAAGCAAAACCACTCAAAAACATAAAATAAAACGAGTTCGGAATCAACGTCGGTATACCAGATGTGAGACCCTGAAACCATGTCGGACTGCTTCCAAACAACTCCATTGCTGGTCATTGTCTGTGAAGGTGTCGCTAAAATTCCAGGTTTACTATCCCGACTTGAAGAAATGAGCAACAAAAGTTGTCGAATTGCAAGGAACGCCAGCCGCGAGAGCCTCGGGGTTTGTTGCAAAGTCCTTCGCAACCAAAAGCTTCCAGTACTTGGTCTCTCAAACTCAAGTTGCTCCAACAAGCGAAGCCGCGTGAAAGCAGAAATCCAGCTTTTAGTCATCAAAGATCTGAACTTCTGAGATGCTCTCAAGATCGTTCTATATGTGCAATCCCGCGCGTATCGCGGCATTCATTGCCACTGATTAATCTGTCTTCTTGCTGACTGCTAAGGTCAGGGAGATGATGGACAGGGATATGATCCGGTCAGGAGATGATGACTGGTAGAAAGGAGAACAAAATAAGCGATGGGTGTACTTGTCTTGATATCAAGTACATGAAAGACAAGGAGTAGACTCACCAGGTCTGCCAACCGTAACAACTCTGCGCTCGTCGCCACATCCACCGCCACCGACAGGTTCGTCTTCTTGCTGGCCATCAGCTCCCACAGCTTCTTTCCCGTCGGGTTCTTCGCCAGCGCCGCGCGGTCTCCGTACGGGATCCGTTTCCGTTTTGGCGGGTCGATCGGAGCGTTTGCGAGCGGAACGGAGGGCGCGGCGGTCTGGTTCTCGGCGATGAAGCGCTTGACGGAGTCGGCGACTTCGGAGGTGAGTTTGTCGTGCTTCACCAGGACGTCGACGATGTGACGCAGCGTGAGAGTGGAGTGCAGTTTCAGCCCGTTCCTGCAGGTGAAGACGTCGCAGTTGAGCTTATCTTCGTTTCAGATTCGGTTAGTCTATTCCTTTCGTCCAGTTAGCCGCTTCCTAGTCGCAGATAAAAGGCCTCTTCAAAGCACTGCAACGGCGGCTTCGCTATATATCAGGAGGGCGTAGGCGAGTAGCCTTGCGCAAGCACACAGGGCAGCTTCAGGCCGTTCTTCTGCCCCCCGCTTCCCTGAATGCTGAAAGAACACTAAACCGAAATCGCAGAGCAGTCAGGCTTTTGATATGCCAAAGCGGAAAGCAGGAGAGGGGGTGCCTTGTGCCCCCCAGAGAAAACCGACCACCACAGTTTCTCACAAAGTTGCAGGATTCAAAATACAAACCGAACAGGATCGGGGGGTACCTTTCCAGGTGCGCCTGCCCCCCCTGTTCCCGGTCAATCAGCACCACCACGTCCTTTGCCTCGAGCCCCACCGCCTTGAGGGGTTCGACGGTTTCCATCACAGATGCCCCGCTGGTGACCAAATCCTCGACGATCAACACGCTCTGCCCCGGTTGAAACGCGCCCTCGATGGCCTTCTTCGTCCCATAGTCCTTGACCTGAGAGATATACGGAGTATACATCATTAGGAAATTAAACCTGTGCCAAAACTCTCATGTCAAAATGGAGGGTTGTTGTGGCGCTTCAGCATACGAGTCAGCTTTTATACGAATGCGGGCGCACTCTACCCTCCATATTAGAATCAAACTTGAACGGATCTCTAAAGGGAGTCAGGACACCATCCCTTTTACTCTCTCAAGATGCAGTTGACACTTCAGCAATAATCCTGAACGTCTTCAGAGTGCCTGGTTCAAAATTCTGTGCTGATGTCATACCTCCTTCCTGCGCATCACCATGGGGCTCCCGTGCAGCAGCGACATACAGGTGGCGATCGGGAGCGCAGTGTACGGGACTCCGCACATGACGTCGAACTTGGCGTTGGCGACCGTGGCCCACATGGACTCAGCCACCTCCTGCAAGAACGACGGATCCCATTTTGACGTCCAGTTTCGTACGCTATACATTCAGGAATTCATATGTGTCGAGTCTCCGCCACTTGGTTGCTAGATGGTGATTGGCAGTTCACCTGAAGAGCAGTTGCGGAACTTCCATTAAGAGATCCGATCCGGCATAGGGGAAATGTCTACCATCTTAGACCTGAACTGGCATCGCTCTGAAAGATTTTGGAACCTTTGGTACCAATGTGCCACATTGACTTGGTCTCACACCTGCTTATCGTGACACCTTTTCCAAAAGTCTACGAGGAACGCCACTATAAGAGGCCATTGAAGCAGGAAAAGACAACAGACTGTTCAAAACCTGCTGAGTTGAGCTGATTGTCACCATTGAAGCGCCTACTTTGCTGACCCATTCGAAACATGACCATAAGTATAGGCAAGGTGGTCATAACTGCCTTTCTTGAAATGAATCTCTGAATCATTACCAGCTTTAAAAAGCTAAAATTCATCGCCCGGCACCGTGCTTGCTTGCGGTTTCCGCGCTTGAGTCTCACCGCTGGACAGAAAGAAGTGCTCGGAAACTCAAGGACTTTGGTGTCCGTTTACTACGCTCGCAGTCACCACCGATCTGCACTTCCATCAATACATTGTCCAATGGACGGTCCAATTAAAGCCCACCTTCAGAAGGTCGGGGTACGACACAATGACACGGAGGTCAATGTAGATTGGCGAGATCAGACCGCTCTTCAGCTTGAAGCTGCCAAACTTGACCGCCTCCACCTCGTGCAACTTCAAAACAAGGCTGTTTGTGTCGTCCTCCATTGCGAGGGTCCGGTTTGTCTCTGAACTCGAACGAGCAGCTAATTTGGTGTGTAAAGTGCCCCCCGTTGCCGAAGGCTTCTTGGAAAAAGAAAATCTAGTCTTCCCAATCTGTGAGAGCTGAAATGGGTCTGAACTCCTGCAGCAAAAGCTACTTTTGCTCAAAGGTTTCGTCCAACAATGGGAGGAGTAGGTTGCTGCTGGGAAGAAATGCAGTGACTTGGCTTTGCAGATAGGCGAGGAATCGCACAAGATCTCACGACTAGAATGAGGACTGCACAAGTTAATTCGTGATGGGCTCTTCAGAGAGCGCAAAGCAGCCATGCCCTGGGGCAAAAAGTTCTTCCAAGTTCCAAAGGGTTTCGCGCCGGCCAGCATTGCATGTGCGCAGAGCGCGGTAACGGTTTGATGCCATCTAGTGTGGGAACGGTGTTTCTGTGAATAATTTAAGGCCTTGCACCTAACAACAATTCATCATCCCAGGCAAAGTCTATGATCCTCCAAGGTCGCGCCTGCCTTCACAGGGCCTTGAGAACGAGATATACTCCCGCTCTCGTTGCTACTCATGGCCATCATTTATTTGGCTAGCTAGCGGCAGCTGGTTCAGAATCATGGGCATGCATGATGGGTGCTGCCAGTGCCAGGGGGCGTTACGCAGCAGTGAAGCACCTTTTGCAGGCCACCTTTTGCCCATCTTTGCATCAAGGCCGCTTCAATGCTTTTAGAACTAGGTGCCCCAGCTCCTTTCAAAGTCGTGTTAATGTGCAAACACAACAACTGAGCTCAATTGGAGACCTTTCCGCCTGGAGCAGAAAAGATGTTGATTCTTGGAAGGCGCAGTGATTGCGCAGCATTTGATGGCTTTAGTGCATATCGCATAGAAGCTCATATGCTGTGAAAGACTTGTGCTGTCTTTGGATTGCATGTCTCTGGTGTGATTGAATTCTCCCCACAAGTTAGCCAATGCTTAGATCCTTCCCCTCATTTTATCAGAATTTGGACCTCAAAAGTGACAGGCAGGAAAGAAGAGAAGATCTTGAGAAAGAGGAGGGGAGACAGAGAGAAAAAAGTTTTGGAAGGAGAGTGTGAAGAGAAAAGCAGCAGCAACCAGGACTCTGGTTTGGGATGGGCCCCCCTGGTGGTTCAACACCGCAAGGAAATACGAGTCTGGCGGAACGGTTTAGTGCGCTGGGGGCAGGGGATATCGCAGACGATGACAGCATTGCAGACGTCCGAGCACCTCTGCTGGACAGTTACGCGGACGAAGAGAGGGCAAAGGGAACCGGAGCGGAGGATGAGAGCGGGGGGCTCCACAGGAGGCTCACTTTTGTGGACGGCATCAGGTGGGAGAGCTTGATTGAAAGCGCATGTAGTTTCAATTCCAGCTTTTCGTGCATGATCGGAGTAGCACTATGTGTATCTTACCATGTGCCCTGGTTGGGGGAAGACAGACGGGGGGCGAGTGCAGGTCAGTCCCAACTGTCTTTTGGCATCAGGTTAAGGGGCCACTGTTCTTAGTTTATCTTAACCTTGTCGTGCATGTTGGAATGGGAATCAGCTGAGAAAGTTTTGCGCTATGTCAGTTGGATCCTAAGCCTAGTAACATGATGAGAATGTAAAGTTTGGTGCGATGTTTCGGGTGGTGGGATAAACATGCAGGGTGCGATGCGACCTTCACAAAACAACCTTTTCTTGGTTTGTGAAGGTTGTTTCTTTTAGTGGAGGCTTTAAATCCTCATTTCAATCAAAGTTCCGTGTAATCAAGTTAGACTGTGTGGTGGAAGTATGCGTTTGAGGTTGAATGTCAGTGGGGCAGCATCTTCACATGAGCTCGTGCGCATTGTCATTTATATCCCCAGGCTCCGCTTCTTGACAAAGCCCTTGGCCTGCTGAGGCATCTTCAACCGAATCTGCAAGACAGAATCGACAGAATCCCTGTTCCTTGGTTTCCAATTCGTGTTGGCAGTTGGACTCAAACAATTCTCAATAAGTTTGCTGAGAAAGGGCTCAGTCCGCCCAAGCTCATCCTCAATCATAGGCGTATGTGTCGACCAGCTGTGGCAATTGCATGTTCCGTCAACCCAGATTTCACACTGACAACTTTTTTGAAAACTCTCATTGGATCTCTGCAGTGTTGTCGTGGGAATCATCGTAGGCAGCGGCATATTCGCTAGCCCCGGAGTTGTCCTACAAAGCACGGGGAGCGTTGGGCTCTCCTTGCTAGCATGGCTGGGCGGGGGAACGCTTGCCATGCTTTCGGCGCTCATCTACGCGGAGTTGGGCAGCTCGATCCCTCATGCAGGGGGGGACAGTCACTATCTGCGGGTGAGGCAGGCCTGACCTCCCTTGGAAAAGCTCTAGTTTGCTGTTTTCTAGTCAGGATTTGGTCTAGGTCTGAGAAAGAACCTGTATCAAGCTGGTGTTGTTCTGCAATTACTTTACATTCGGACCCTAAGCATATGAAAGTTCCGGAGATCGAAACTGCAAATTGCAGGGTCGATAGTCTTGTTCCGGAAACAAGATACTCAAGTGACTCCGCCTTCTGATTCGTCCTTTCACAGAGTGTCTGTTCACATGTCGCTTGCGTGTCAACAGCCGTTCTAAAAACCAGGCAATTGGTCTTTGTTGTAATGCACTCTTTTTCCGCAGGCGTCCAATTGGTAATTTGGTATCGCCTATCCCCAACGATTGCAGAGTTCTTCGTCTGCTTCACTCAAAGAACAGGATCTGACAAGGCTTCCGTCTCTCGTCCGTTCCTCTGCAGATTGGCTTCAGCAACGTTGTCTCGTTCATGTACACGTGGACATCATTCTTTGTGCTCAACGGAGGGGGACTTTCCATTGTTTCGGTCACGTTTGCGCAGTACATGGGCTCCCAGGTGAGGTGCTTTTCTTGTGTGACTAGACCTCCATGCATCACGACTCTCAGGCTACAACCTCTCTGAAGGTATCCAAGTCAAGAACATTTCTGCGTAGTTCCTCGTTTGCTGTAGCAGTAATGTGTTTTGGTTTCTAGCAGAAGGCGTGGCTGCTAAGGTGCACATGATAGGGACAGCGTTCCGGTGATCCCCACTTGGTTCACCAAATGGACTCTTCCCATTTGATGCCTTCCATTGGAAACTGATTCCAAATAACCACCTGAGGAGCAGGGACGTTCTCTGGGGACGGTTTTCCGTGCGCAGTCCTGCAGGGGCTCTTCGCCACCCCCACTGTCCTCCATTCTCGTGTGATCGAAAAGCGTGTTTGCTTTGAGAGAAAGCTCTGAGACCCAGACATTTGTTTTACGTTTATCGAAGCCCCAGGCCTATCCCTTATTACATCTTCGTGTTTTAGTTTTGTAACCCAAGACATCTGCGGAGTGGCTCGGCACGGCAATGCTCCTTTGGATTTATCGTCTTCGCTCTCCGGGTCACATCATTCTTTCCGTTCACAGTGTAAGCTGCTTCGGATGGTGTACCCTTTGTGGGGCTTCGGTCTTGCTTGGTATGACTGTTTGACAACCACTGTCGGCCGATTTTGTGCTCATTCCTTCCCGCGACATCAGTCTCTGTTTTTTGCAAGCCTACTTCCTCCAATCACCATACTTGATAATTGAGTCTCGGAATCTTGGAAGCAGCTTGTTCTGTTCGCTTCCGTCAGCTTCGTGTCTGTTACCAGCGTCTGATGTTCAACCATTGAACTATGTTGGCAAGGACTTCGCCAAATGCGCTCAGTAAAATCTTAGCTGAGAAGAAGTTTGACGTGCTGACGCCAACTCTGCTGGATTATAAATCCCGGATACTCTGCCTCTTGTCCTTGAGTACGTCAGACGGGGCAAGCTCTGACACGCCTCTTCCTCAAACGCGGCTTTCCAAACCCTCATGTTGGGTCGGTCTTCTGGAGCATCAGCTTTGGTCTCCATCCGTATCAGATGCTTGCGATTTGCTGCAATTTTCTTTGTCAGAAAGAATACTTTGTAAAGGTTTTTACCCAATGCCTCGGTTGCTCCACTCTCTCCAAATCGAGCAAAGATTACTGAGGCGCGCTCTTCAGGAGACCCGTTTGGAGTCACTTCACTGTTCATCGAAACTGCGCTGTGCTTCAGGCATTCTGAAATCGTACCTTTCGGAATTCACGGTTCTTTGAGTGCGGGGTCACGGGGTGGCAGTGATGGGCGGTTCCAAAGTGGGCCGTGGTTCGTCCTCGACCAAGCCCATTCTTCTTGTTGTGTCCTGATGCCTCTCGTCACAGAACTATTGAGATTGGATAAATACCTCTGCGAGATTCGTCTTATGAAAGTCTGACCAGCCCGTGCATCTTGACCGTCGTAAGTGCATATTTGATTCGGTTCTTTGGGACGTCACAAGCGGGTCTGCAGAGCGCTGGCGGCTGTGAACGTCTGTTAACTCGCGGAATTACCGCAGCCTCCTCTTTGCTGCTGTGTTCCAGCTGTTTGACCAGTGCAAAGACCACGGATCGTTTCTCCTTTGCCCAAGATAGGCCAAACAACTGTCCGCGGTTCCTTTGAAAAAGAGGCATGCGGCCAACATGAGCGTCCTTATTCGGATGCTCCAAAAGATTCTCTTATATCACCTGGGAGCATATCATACTGAATGTCCGACGCTGTTAGACTTTGATATCGACAACATCGGCAAGGACGCGCCCAGAAGCAGCTCGTTTCGACCGGTCGAAATGCGTAGGGATGGGAGCAGTCACGCCGGTTGTGCATCGGCGCTATCTATGCTTGTTTCCGTGTGACTCCGGCCTTTGGAAGCAATTCGCAAATGGCCACAACCCCTGAAAAGGTCGGTTTCAGATGTCCGGGTGCATCCCGATTGCCGTTTGGAGGCAACCACTACCCGTATTTTTGTACCAGGATAGCGTATGTCCTGAAATGCCCGAGTGCTTTATTGTTGAGGTCTTCAGACCCGTGCTCTTGCCAGAAGGCTTGTAACGGGTAAGGCTCTTGAAATGAAGTTCTCTCAAACCGAGCGGATTTCGAAAGTAAGCCATTACCTGGGAATGTCAAAACTGACCGTGGACTCGCTCGTCTGCTCTCGGTTGCGCGCTATACTTTTCCTACGATAAGGGGCTGCAGATCTGCTGAGGAGAATCGTCCCTTTAGAGAGGTCTCTAACGCACGAGCAGGGTAATGACGGGGACGCCGATGTGGGCTGTCGGTCAATATTGACGCAGCCTAGAACCTTGCAACCTTCCCTTCCTGAAATGTTTAGAAGAAGCGTCTCATATGATTGGGCTCCTTCTGTCAAGATCCAATCCATAATCGCCTTTTTGACTTTCAAAACTTGGCATCGTCACTGGCTCATCATTGGAAATTTGGAAAGAAGGATTTCGTGGTGCAATTCTGCAATTCCCGTAGCGACCCTCAAAGGCTGCTTTGTGCCGTGTTATGTTGTTCGCTTGCCTTTACCAGGTGGATGCCAAGTTTTTTCTTATATTCGTTTTCTTCACAAGTGTCTGGCCCTTGACGTACCTTCAGAAGACGTGGCTATGACGAAAGCATCGACTGCTCTCAATATGTGCAAAGAGAAGAAGGTTGGTGCTCTTTTGATGCCAGGCTGTAATTCAGAACAGTCCTTGTTGAGAAGGAATGTCAAATTTGGAAGCCAGAAAGCCAAAGAGTCCCGGTTTACGACGCGCGTCTCGAATTCCTCGTTGTAGCTTGTGGTCTTGTACGCCACAGATGCAAATCTGCCCCAATCGGGTGTCGGGTGTCCCCACGCTAGTTGCTCACAAAGTGAGTGCCCATTGATGGCCATATTCATCAGCTTGTGAACGTTTCTCTTGTTGGGTCTGTGTCAGTGAGAAGGTCGTCGAAGGAAGACCACTTGCGCTGATGCAACTCCTAATCTCCTTGTTTTGTCATCGCCCAATGTGTTCCCTTGATGTGCGACTCAAAGACACAAGTATACCTCCCCTGACTTGGGCAATGATGGACATCGCTGACGTGGGCTGCTTCCTTTTTGAGACAGCCCAACCTCGTCGATCATCCCGATGCCCCGGTTGCCTTTTTGAGCGGCCCACTTAAACATCATTACTGCCCACCTGGGGCAGTTGGCTGTCGCCTTCGACTTCCTCTCGTTGTTCATTCTGGCACCGATTGTGGCTACCACTGTCCAAGAGCCAAAGCCATATTACAAAAGCCAGCCAACTCAGAAGCAACATTTGGATCCGATCTCAACAATCATGATATGCGAAAGAGCCGTTCATCCCATACAAGCGAGAAAGTCAGCTTCAAATTTGCCAGCCCAATTGAGCGGCCTTCGAAGAGGGGCCAAGGTAGTTTCACAAATAACGAACGAAGTACTGTGCCGCGCGGATAGCTACATTCCCCAAGTAGGCTCCCGTTGAGGGCCCTCTGTGTGTGCTGTTCAAATTTGCATGGGTGACGTGGCAATGACGGGATGTCTTGGCTGGGCTTGCAACGATCCGACAGCCCAAGAACCTCGTCATGGTCAAGCTCGGATGTCAGTTCCTACGTGTTTATAGAGGGAGCACGATACCGGCGTTTGCAAAGGTCTGCAAATACACATATGTCAGCAGCAAGCATGTCCCTCAAAAATTTTCTGCTTTCCGTTTCGCTGAAACTTGTTTGAGAATTCGGGTCGTTTGCTCAAGCGTTCTGCGGTCCCTTCGCAAGGATCCGAATGTCTGTTTGATGAAGCTAGGAGATGATTATAGCGCGAGCGGGCAATGATGGGATTGCTGTCAGTGGGCTGCGGACCTTAGAGAGCCCACAGATTCTTATCGCACCCGAGGCACTGAAGCTCCTAGAAGTGTTCACTCGTATTCAGGATTTTAACCGCGATGGCCGTGCGTTTGTGTCCTCTTTCGAGCCTTGGACGCTTCTATCTACCTTTGTCTGTGTGCATGTTACAAAGTACGGGTTCGGTGTGTGGTGACGTTCAGGGAAGTTGTCTTTGTCGAGATTGTCCTGGTGAAGAAAACAGTTGGGTTAGCGGTTGGATTGCCAGAGAAAGTCAGGCTCTGTCCGGTTGCCATACAATAACCTTGTAAGTACTTGGACGTTGCGGAGCAAGGCAGCAAACGCGTTCAGTGTTCTGTGCTTCCCGAATTCTTTTTTGTTACAGGCGCTGAATGACATGGCGCGTTTCTGAACACTGTGTGATGCTTGAGGCCACTCATTCATGTTGGGCGGCGGTGGTTGTTTCTGTAGTTGTATCTCTCTTTTCAATCTGGTAATAATTGTGAAGGCACTCATTTACAGTCTCTCTTGACAAACTTCTTCCTGCAAGAACGATCTGGTGTCCACGAGTCATTGTCTGCCGCTGATCCGCATTATGGTTGGCAGTGATTCGTGAATTCGGCTCCGATTCTAGCATCGAGCGGTTGCGTGTGACGACGAGCTTGCTACATGTGTTCATGGTCCCTCGCGGTTGGGTGTTCAACGTTTTCTATAGCGGTGTTACCGCGTACTCACCGTTTCCAGCGAGCTCTGCTAAGAGTTCTTGCCTGGATCCGCATTGCTGTCTAGCAATCGGTGACTAAGCGGTTGTTTTTTCAAGATCTTGATAGAAGCCCGCTTTCCTTGACATGTCCTAGATAGAACGGGAGCCAAAAGTACAAGGCTGCTCGGCGTCTTGGAAATTTTGTCCGTTGCCAGACGTGTGAACCATCTGTAATCTGTGTCTACTCACCTTTCAGTTGCCTCGCGGGCTTACGTGCGCTTTGCCGGTGATGAAAGCTTGAGTTGGGTGGCTCGATTCCTCTGGACTGGAGCGACAGCCCATTTCACATTTGCTTTCCCGATGTTGACGCCAGCGCTTATCTTTAAAAGTACGTCTTGCTAAACTGTGGGTAAGCGTCCATATTGTGATGAAGGCTCCAACTTTGCCCTTTTTCCTCTGCTTCGCTTACGGCTTTACTTTTGAGTGCGCTTTGCGCCATACTATCATGAGCCGGCGACATACAGATTGTAACATTTGGAAGTTTCGTCCAAGGACGACACGTGTAAAGGTCTACGCATTAGTATGGAGTCTTTTGGCCCTGCGCTCTCGCTTTCGCGTCTGGGAATGTCGTACAGAAACAGAGAACTTCTGGAAGGGCGAGCTATGATGGTGTCGCTGGTCTGGGCTTGCTGATCGATCAATGTGAAGGTCAAGCAGCCCAGTCCCGTCTTGTCTTTTTCAGAAGCTCGATTCGCGAGTTGAAAGCTTACAGAATTGAGATGTGACTGAAGCCTTTACTTCAGTCACCGACTTTCTATTCCTATATGCTTGGGAGTTCGCTATACTACCCGATCTGGTAGCTTGATGTGACTGAACACAGTGCAAGAAGCGGCATGTCTACTGTAGGGACTTGGTAATTTTGGCAAAGACGCGACTTTACAATCGCAAAAGTTTCACGCCTTATTGACCTGTTTTTCCTGCAGATATTCGATGATTACTCAAGCAACGCGTACGACTGGCGCGTGAAAGGGCTGTCGCTGGCGTGCATCGTCGTGCTCACACTAACCAACTGTTTCGGTGAGTCCTGTGGAACTGATCCTTTTGCACCTATCTCGTTTCTCCGCTGGTGGTTAACTGCTTTCATCGTTGAGAAGGTCCGCTGAAAGAGTTGCACGATGTCTTCATGCTTTGTTCTTAAAGAGGACAGTAGCCAATAATCACTTCTCGCGCGGTGTTCGATCACTTATCTTCAAGAAACAAATGGATCTGCGAGAATGTCTTCTGTTGCTTCCTCGCACTCCGGGTTTGTTGAATTTTCAGTAACTGAGGTCTTCACTCGTATGCAGGCGTTCAAATGGGTAGCTGGGTGCAGAACGTGCTCAGCGGCTCCAAGCTCGTTCTCGTCCTCCTATTGGCTGGCGCCGCCGTCGTATATCTGCACGATGAGCCTGCCGTCGCGGCGCGCAACATGGCGCATCCTTTCCGGGACAGCCAACCAGCGGGATTTGGTCCGGGAATGGTGGCTGCCCTTTGGGCCTTCGACGGCTGGTAAGAAGCAGAACCTTGCCTTAAGTTCTGAAATTTGAAAGTGAATGAGTGCGACATCGAGTTAGGGATTTGAGGCGTCCAAATTCTCCTTTCTTGCGTGCTTGCATGGTCTGGTGTGGATCCGCTTTCATCCATCCTTTTTGTCCGAGAAGAGCCCGCAAGTTCAAGGAGTTTCTTTGGTGGAACGTCGGCACACTTGTCCGCCTCTTTTTCGACGTCCGCGCAGGGTCACACACCACCACTCGAAGGCCGAAAACCATGCTCCGCGCCGTTCGATACCTCATTTTCACGATTGGACGGCTCAGATTGCTTTTCAAGACTCTACCGGGCGCTTAAAGGTCCTCGGTCTGGTAGAGTAGCAGGTTAGCTCTAACTAAACATGGGTTAGGGCTGAAATGGCTGTGAAACCATGCTTAAGTAGGCCTCCAGAACGTGGTGGTGGGACATCCGCCCAGAGACAAAAATCACCTGACCTTGTTCCTAACCCTTTTTTGGTCAAGGCTATCAGGGTTCGGGTTTTGGGCGGAAGGGCCAGGCTGCCCTCGGAGCATGGAACCGGTAGTAACGAAGTCTGCCTGGGGCGGTTTGTGACACTGCGTCCGCGGGTTTTCGTGTGACATGGTCCCCTTCTAGTTGCCTAGACAGGTCTGGACTGCTCGACGAAGCGCTCAGATTTCTTTTTTGTACTCTTTGGAAGTCAAGAGTCTGATAAAAATGTCCTCAATGTATTCACTCACGCTGGATACGACTTGTGCCTTTTCAGTTCCCAGGAGCGCTACGACGATGCTGGGAGACAGTCTTCTCGTGTTTCCAACGCGTTCTCAAGACTCGTGCCCTCACTCGTGGCCAATTGAATAAACTGCACCCACTAACATCTCCTCTCTGTCTGTGGAAGCGCAGTAATGATGCTGGCAGAGGGGCTGACATAGCCGCTGTGACAACTCCGCAATAGAATTTCGTGGTGCCTCTGTATCCTCCTCGACTTGCAATTGTTGCAGTTTCTCAAACTTTTTCCGTCCCAATCCTTTATCCGCTCACTTTCGCAGGAGCGCCGTGACGATGTTGGGCGAGGAGCTGAAGAACCCCGGGCGCGACATGCCGCGCAGCATCGTGTTCGGCATGCTCACTGTCATTGTTATCTACGTCACCGCCAACGTGGCGTACCTCTGCATCCTGCCCGTACACAGTAAGGCGGCTTACTTGTTTAAAAGCGTGAGTTCTTAGCTAACGTCGACCGCTTGATGACGTGACAAATCTGACGGCCAACGTGGCGTACCTCTGCATCCTGCCCGTGCACGGTAAGGCGGCTTACTTTGTTTCAAAAATGCGCATTTGATCTAACGACAGGCGCTCGAATTATGGAGTCATTAACTCGACGTCTACGGTAGTAAGTGGTAATTCTACGGGCGTCCTGACATGCCGGTTAAGCTGCACATGCGTTGCTCACGCCCGCTGGTGAGAAAAGGGCGTCTGGTTTGACGGATGCGAATACGCGAAGGTAGAAAAGACGGAATTCAAAGTGTCGGACGGCGCTTTTGCGGAGATTCAGGGAATCTGTATGAAAGATAGCATTCATCACTTCTTTGCAACTCAGAAGCGGCAGGAGCAGCGGTATGACGAGCTGATTCATGGCCAGCTTTCGCGGCCGACGGCCTCTGACTTTCATGTGGTTGATTCGGGAAGTCTGCCGCCCTCATCAGCTTGAGCCCGTCTCGTGAGCCAATCCACTGTCACGTTCATCGTGACGAAAAGCGCCACGCATGCAAACTTTATGTCGTTGTTTGACGCCTCCGATCGTCCTGCGCAGCCGTCAAGTTTGGCGCGGTGGTTGCGGTGGACGCTGTGGAGCGCGCGTTGGGCACGTGGGCGGGCAGCCTGACCGCCATCCTAGTTGCGCTCTCTACGCTGGGGAGCGCGAACGCGACCATCATGTGCGGGGGACGCTACCTGGTAAGGCTTGTCGCGCCAAGTTCCTGCTTGTGTCCCTTAGATCATCATGCAACAGGTGCAATCTGGTGCGTCTTGAATTGTCAAACTCATATATGAATATGTTTCGTGAGGTGGTACTTGTTGGCGTTTTTGGAAGGACCATCAAGCGGATCGAACCGCTCACAATGACAAACATTGGACCTGAGATCGTAGGAGAGAAGTTGAATTATCGCAGGCTATGGTTAAGGAGGATGGCGGTCAGAATAGGGAGCCTGGTTCGGCTTCACCTCTATGACAAATATGGCGTTCTAGTGAACAAGGTCGAGTCACACCTAAATCTGCTTCTACTGCCTTAGCATAGGCTACGAACTTCCGATCACGGCATCTGCCATTTCCTGACGGGGAGCAGTCTTCGAGCAGCTTGTACTGCACATCCGGCTTGCCTCCTTCTCGCTCTTTTCTTGCTGTTCTTCCGGGGCCGGTTTGCAGTCAACCCGTGTTTCTTCCCGTAGCGGTTGACACACCGGGCATGCAGAAGCTGCCGCGTCAGACTCGCTGTCCGTTGGCTCTACCTGCTGAAAAAGGCAGGGCAGGCTTCCTTGAACCGAGCGGTGTGCCAGTCCGCAGACTCCTCATGATGAGCTGCGTGTGGCCAGAATATTCAGTTAAAAAAAAAAGGCTTCCTTGAACCGGGATCGCAGATCGACCCTGCTGAAACCGTGCCGTTTCTGCAGTATGCGGCCTCCCGAGCCGGCCAGATTCCGTCCTGGATGAGCGCACTGGGGCAAAAAAGCCGGGCGCCGTACGCCGCTCTATTAGCGCAGGTAAGCATGATCTGCTGAAGCATGCTACGCACATTGTTTTTCCAAGCCCACGCTTTACAGCAACAGCTGAGTAAGCTAAGCCCTCCAGACTGAGGTGTGAATTGCCTTTTGCGGATTTCTTTCATATGAAAAATCCTGCTTGCATATTTCGTTACTTCCGCTGGTGGCAATGACGAGGACGATGCTGAGGCGCCTCCGCAGCGTTGATGGCCTACGTGGAGCCGTTCCTTCGATTTTAGCTGGACCATTCTTCTTCCTCAGCCTTGACGGACATTGGGTGTTGCTTGCCTGCAACGTGAGCTTCTGGAATGGAGCTTTATGCTCTGCTCTTCGCTGGTGACAAACCTGGCTGCTCCGAGCGAAGTCTGTCGGTGTCTCCGAGTGAGTGCACACTGAATCCATGGGATCCGTCGAGGGCCTGGAACGGACAACAGCTCAAGGTCATTGGCTCTGGAATCTGGCGCCCACGTCTGTCAACGTTATCGTTCGGTTTCCGCGATTGTGATATTATTACTTTTCATGTAACACTGGTTGGTACGTGGCGTCGTTGCGTAATGAACCGCAGTGAGTATGCATGTCTCTGGATGCACGTTCCGCTTTGTCCGATTCTGGCTGTGATGGGAATGTCGATGAGGTGTCGCCTCAAGGCGGCTCTCTTTAACCTAAAGCCTTGCACCGACGGTAGAAGCTTGGTGATGTATCTTTTGAGTTCCCTCCTTGTTCGAAGGCACTCGCTTTTGCTTAGCATCCGGGTTTCTCGGAGCTTGAAGTCTCCGTGATCGAAAGCCTGCGCTTGGGCTCATTCCGAAGACGTTCTGGTGACTTCCGTCAAAAATTGAGTGGCATCTGCTCTCGTTGAGTTTCTTGAGCGCATGTGAGAGCTTCGCCAATTTGCTAACAGGGACAGGCATTTGAAAGTGCAGAGCGTCCGGCTGTGATGTATGAGGGCCGACGTCAACTTTCACTGACCCCTCAGCGTTTTCATTGAGTGCCTCTCTGCTTTGAAGGACAGAAGTAGTTTGGATATTCTGGAAGTAAGTGAACTGCTACGGGTCTTATAGCTGGTCGGTGTTCTCGGGCGTCAAGGTTTTCTTGCGGCAATTGAGTGGCTGCAGTTGCAGTGGCGCTCTCCCCAGTAACCTTGGCCGGGTCTCTTTTCTGCGGGTCTCTGACCCTGTACTTTTTTCTGCTTCCAACTCTGCAAAGGACGGTGAACATTCGGAATGCTTTGTTTTCGGGCTGAACAACTCAGGCTGGAAGGTGCGGCTGCCTTGATACACACGTCCTGGTATCATTGTCGCATAAGTCGTCATCAGTGTTCAAGATTGGGCCATGTGGGATCAGGTCCTGACACGAAGCGTCAGGCTTTGGTGCCCTCTTTGCGCTGAGCTAATGCCTGAAGTCTGCTTTCCACGTTGATATGCAAGTCCATTTGCATTGACTGCTCCGTGAAAAGTGCTCTACTGGGACGCGTGGAGCAGTTGGAGATTGGCCTGTTGTATTTGAAAGCCGTCGTTTGTGAATGTATCCTCTCAAAGGCAAACAGGGACTCCATGGTGGTCTAATCCATGCCGGTCGCGTGTAACTTGGGCAAGTCTTTAATGCACGAGTCTTCTGCCTCAAGAAGGCATGGCGCTAGCATGACTTCATCAAACACAGTCAATTGATCTACGTCTCCATTTTCAGGCTAACTAACTCATGTCCTTCTTTGTTCCTCGGGTGGCTCTGATGAGCTCAGCAATGAAGGATGTTCCTTCACTAGAAGATGGCTCTCTCCTCTGAAGCCGGTCAGGTGTTGCGCAAGCTTGCCGTTCTTCTGCTTTTCATGTCAGGCCAACTTTTTTTGAGCCCTTTCGTCCGTCTCGGTTCCCGTGGTCTTTGTTTTTTCTTCTGCGTCGTGAATCTTGAAGGAAGGCATTGTCTACTAGCGCGTTTTAGTCCCTCACCTATACTGTCTTGTTGCTTAGTAGCTTCATGGAAAGGAGGAAACGAACTGAAACAGGAGGCTGAGTTGGAGTTGCCTCTGGGCTACACAAGATATTGCCAAGCGTTTTGGTCTGGTTTTGTGGCTAAGACTCACTGGTCGAGACTCAGTGGTCGAATTCCTAAATGCATCCCAAGCGTGAGGATAACATAACATAGATTTTTCAAGCGAGACCGGAGTTTGTACGGTTGTGCTTTCTCTCAGTTGCATGCGGCTGTGAAAGTCGACGACATTGGGTGTCAAACCCAGTGCCAAGCTTTTCCGTTGACGCCACTTCTTGTTGTTTGCAAACCTAGCTTGGGTGCCTGCTTTGCTTGGAAGCCTTGACGCCCGCTCTTCTATTTGCCGAGCCCGCCGATCCAGAACCCAATGAATTTCTGTCGTACACGCTTTGTGCCGTTGTGAAATGTGCCCAACTGTTCGTAAGTCCTTTGCGTGATCTGGACAATCGTAGCGCAAGCATTCATGCCAGAGTTCAAGGCAGAGCCTGGTTGTGAGAGTAAAACTTTGATCAGAATCCATTCTCTGCGAGGTGGGGTTTAAACGCTTATATGAAGATGCTAAGCGGTGGTCATGATACCATGCCCGATGGGTTGAAATCCTCGACAAGTTTGTCGCGGGGCTTTGAAACCAATCAGAGCAAGGATTTCCAACCTTATGCGTGGCGGCATCTAAGGAAGCACCAGCGATCGATTCCGAGCCCCGCAACGTCTCTGAATATTCCAGTGATATTGCTCGTTTCCGAATTGGAGAACTGTAAGTGGCCGTGCCACGTACTCCTTTGAGTGAGGCTAAATCAGATAGAAAGGGTGCTTTCTAAGGTGTTGAGCTTGGTGATTTTGATTCTATCTCAACTCATAAAGGCCAAATGACAAGGGTTGTCTGAATCTGTCATGACGTCATCCGAACCGTGCGTTTACATCACCTTACTGCCCTAGGAGCGCAGGCGTGCCTGCTCCTGTTGAGCTCCTACACCAGCTTGGCGTCCCCCATCAAGCTTCTGAAGTCAACGCGAAATCCTCGGAACCCGTTGACGTCAGCTAAACCATGTTCTGACGTCATCCTGTCCCTGTAGGAAGCGTGGGCGTGCATGCTCCTGCTGTGCCCTTCTGCGAGCCTGGCGTCATTTGCTTTGGCATCAAGGGAAATTGTTGCAACCACGTCGTCTGACCCACATGCTGACATTACCCCTTCTGACGTCATCCTCTCTCTGTAGGGAGCGTGGGCGAGCCTGCTCCTACTGTGCTCCTCCGTGAGCCTGTCGCCCCTCGTCAGGCTTCTTAACATCCACGAAACCCCCACGTTCACTGACGTCAGCTCAATCGTGTGCTGACGTCAATCTACGTTGCAGGGAGCGTGGGCGTGCCTGCTCCTGCTGTGCTCCTCCGCGAGCCTGTCGTCCCTCATCAACTACTTCGGTGTGGCTAGCTGGGTCTTCTACGGCCTCTCCGCGCTCTCGCTCGTGCGGATACGCGCACGCTTCCCGAGCATCCACAGGCCGTTTAAGCTCCGGGCGCATTGGGCGTTTTCGTATTCCGTGTTTGGACTTGCGTGGTGAGTACTGCTGCTATTTTTTGAAAGTGTAAAAGCTACTTCTTTTGACCATCAATAGCGTCTCCTTGACATTCATGTTATCAGTATTTTCGACCGTCTACCCGGCCGTTCAAGGGTTGGTCGGTTGCGTACTCCGTGTTTGGGCTTGCGTGCAAGTGCTTGTGCTACTCTTTTGGAACTCAAAATAGCTGCTTGGATTCAGCCCTTGAGAAAGGCTCCTTGGATTTCATTTGCATCATTCCCTTCCGTATTTTCGACCTAGCCGTTTGAGCGTTGAGCGGACTGGGCGTTTGCGTACTCCGTGTTTGGACTTAAGTGGTAAGTGCGTGTGCCATCGTCTGTGGGAGTAAAGGGCTGCGTCAATTAGATGTTGAAAGGGTGTCCCATTTCACTTTCAGTAACATCGATCATTACCGACCTCTTACCGTTCTCGTTTGGCTAAGCTTTCAACCGGATGTGTTGCCGCCGGATTTGTTACGGTATGCGCCTTTCATCTGTGCTGATGCGTGCTGGTTTATTATCTGTGCGATTTGAAGCACACACACAGACAGAAAGTGCGATTTGAAGCACACACACAGACAGAAAGTACGTTTGAACTTGAATGCTACGCAATACTACTCAAACTTAGAGTCAATCCGCTCCTCGTTGCCCCTTGCAGTTACCTCGTGTTGACATCGCTCATGCGGAACGCGGGCCCCGCGTCGGCTGCGCTCGGATTTGCGCTCCTCTCGATTCCGGTCTACAAGCTGACCCAATGGTTCCGTGGCGGAATCCCTCACATTGAGTCGGTCAAACATTTACGGTGCGACTCCGTCAGTAATTTCGTAGAAAGGTCTGGCTGAAGCTCTTCCTTCCTGTGTGTCTTCCTGAAATGTACTTCTAGAATCAAAAGATTCATTAGTGAAGATGGTAAAGGCAGATTCGTCAATGCCGCGTTTCGTATCGTCAAGGTCTACGTTTGTGAAAACAAGTATTTTGTTGAGTAAGTAAATGAGGCGATGCATTCGTACAGGTAGAATATTTTCGTAGGTAATACTGAAGACAATCTTTTACGTTAGACATGTAGCTTCATTAATTCGGTTAAAAACGGGTGCGGAAGACTCCTTTGTAAGCATATTGGATTAACTATCTAACAGCCCAGATGTTGTTTTCTCCTCAATGGTCGATCATGAATTGAAACCCGTCGAGGCCTGTGACACCACAAACCGGCGAGGCCTTGTTTCCTGAAGTTCAGGACATGCGAGGCCTTGTTTTCTGAACTTTCGGACATGTGGGGAGAAACAAGATCGGACCACGTCATTTTTGTGGAGGTCCAATGCGTGTATATCAGGGCTACAGTTTCCTGTTTAGAGCCTAGATTTGCGGCAAAGGCCAAGATGTGAAGGCACGTGAGTGTTTCCTCAGATATTTGTGTCTGCGTATGGGTTAAGCCTTTTGTTTGCAAGAGCGGGCACGCAAAATTTTCAGCATTGTGAACTGGTTTGAGACGTCTAACGTTCGTACTGTGTCCCCTCGTGATCTCGATGAAGGTTGGGTCGAAACGTACCTATTAACAGTACGGTCTGTTTTCAATCATAACGGCTGCTTTCATTAACGGCTGTTTTCCTTTGGAACTCATCGGACGGAGTTGCCCTGTGAGAGAGAAAGACATCCTTGCTGAAGTCTGATATTGCTTTTTCACATGGAGAGACACAGCTTTCACTGCAGCATCTCGAAAGGGCCAACGGTCAGGTCTCGCGATCATAAGCGGCCGAGGCCGGTGCACATCACCGGTATCTCGTTCTTTTGACATGCATGAGACATTGGTCTTGACATTGTGTACTGTTCTGATAGCCAATCCAGTGCCCAAGCTTTCATCAATGGGCTCTCGGATTTTTTTAGTTCCAAACCTTCGATCAGGTGCCGCACTTTTTGCAAGCGGTGCGTGATTTTTTTGACTCGCTCGTTTCGAACTGTTCCGCCTCGCTTCTTCGTGGCGCCTTGCGCTTGCTCGTTCGTGGGTGGATCAATAGCAGATGCCTTTCACCTTCAGAAGAGATAAAAAGCTATTTTGTCAAGTAAATGGGAGGTTGGAGCGGCGTGAGTGTTTGATGACTACTGCGCCGGTTTTGTACTCGTGCCTTCGCCAGCCGGTTGCCCCAAGCACTTAGCTCGACCGTCTGGTCTTGGAACTTCAGACACGAGCTCGCCTCTGTTTTTCATGCAGCAGCTTCACGATTCATAGCCGGTAACTTTAACCTGCCAGTTTTGGGCTTTCTTGGCAAGGACTTTGCGAATTCGCTCAGGACAGTTTGATCCCCGAAGGAATGGCTCGTGTGCTGACGCCAACTTTGCTGGATTTGAATTTGTCTAATTGTACTTAGAAGTGGAAAAGTTTTTTCATGCTCCTTTATGCGGCTTCTCAAGCCTCAGATGGGTTGGCTTTCTCTAGCATGACTCAGTGAGCTTGCCTTCGTCCTCTCAGGCTCTTGTGTATCTGATGCTTTCTTGATAAAATGGATCCTGGATCTCACCTTTGGCGACAGAATTGCTCGATTCACTCCCCTACCCAGCGTTTGCGAATAAAGTAAATAAGCGGGTTTGACAGAGTTCATCTCAAACGTGTGCCCACTAGCAAAGTTCCACCCATCTTGGTGGAGCAAAGCGCACCGCTTCCAAGACAAGAACTAGACAGAGGCGTTTTTGAGGAGTGTCGCTCTAAGAAGTGCTGCTCATCAAATCTGGTCTGTGTCCTAGGCATTTCGAGTATCACAATAAGATATTCCGTTGGATAAGGTATTGTAATGGGGACTGATAATAGTGGGCGGTGTTAGAGTGGGCTTGTACCAGAAAGCTTAACTTGGCCATGCTACCTCCTGATGCCCCTCATGACAAAGGTTTTGAGGTCAGCGATGTTTTCATTGCGATGTTCATTTCCATGAAGCCTGACAAGCCCGTACGAATAATCGTCGAATGTGCGCCGATTGTCGATTAATTGTTTGAATCGGGTTTTGGGAAGTCCCTAGCAGGTCTGCAGAGCGCTTGCGGTTGCTGAAACGTGCTAAAATTTAGCAGCCTCCTCTTTGCTGTCAAGCTTTTTCGACGAGTGTGAGGACCGCGGATTGTGTTTCCTTTGTCGAATGTAGATCACAGTACGCTCCGCTTTACTCCTTTGAAGAGGCATGCGGCCAACATGCACGTCCTTTTAAGGATCCTCCCGAGATCCCAATATGTTACCTGCGAGCTTGTCATACTGAATCCTAAGTTTTTCTGTCAGATTGTGATTTCGATAACACCGGCATTGAAACGGCCAGAACCGGCTCATTCGACAGGTCGAAGCGCGTCGGATTGGGAGCAGTGATGTCGGTTGTGCATGGCGCTAGCGTGTTTCTTACATTTGTGCACGAGAGTGTTTCAACCGGAGAGCCCAAGTGCTTTCTATGTGGTCTTTGCCCGGAGGCCTATCCTCTTGCAGTCTTCGTCCAGACGAAGCGCTTTCTCCATGCTGAAATGGTTGCCGAATCTTGCAATTGCTATCTAGTTCGGTGTCGGCCAAGGCTTCGGATGGAACTCCTCTCCAAGCATAACCTGCGAAACAGTCAAAAAATGTCATCTCTCTCGCTCCTGACCATGAACCCGCTTGTCTGCTCTTGATTCCGCGCCTTCTCCGGATCAGATAAGGAGCTGCAGATTTGCTGACAAGAACAATCAGTGCCTTTGGAGGTATCAACGTACGAGCAGGGTAATGACGGGCAGCGCCGGCATGTGGGCTGTCGGTCAATGTTGAGGCAGCCTAGTTCCTGGGATTGTGTCCTTCCAGACGCCCGTCATACTCGAAACACCGTCTCATATGTTGCACTCCTTCTTTCAGTCCATAGTCGTCTTGCCGAACTTTGGAGTTTTGCTCCATTAGTTGCTCGTTATAGATTGGGAGAGGGGTCTTCTGTGGAGCAGGTTGCGACAGGTAAGGACCCTCGAAGGCTGGTCTCCGCCGTGTTATGCCGTACCCTTACGTTTGCCAAGTGGATGTCTCTTGTTATTCAGATTCGTCCACATCACAAGTGCTTGCACCTTGACTTGCCACTTAGAAGACGTGGCTATGTTGAAAGATGAACTCCTCTCATTCTTTGCAAAGAGAAGGAGAATCTCCAGGATCCAAGGCCAACGTGTGTTCCAGAGTAGTCCTAATTGTTCAAAAGTGTCACATGCCTGACAGCCTGAAAGTCCTTGTCTGAACGCAAGTCTTCAGTTCCTCGATTGTAGCTGAGACCTTGTAGGCCGTAGATTTGGAACGGACCCGAAAGGATCTGATTTGTTCCTGCGCTAATTGCTTGCCACTAGAAGATGCTCACTCAAGGCACGTCCATCAGCGTGTGCATGCTTCTGTTCTGTCAGCTTGAGCAAGAAGATTGTTGACCGGATGTGGAGTGACACCTCCGCTGATGCAACTCCTCCCTTTGTCATCGCGTCGTATGTTCTCTTCTGGCCTGCGTCCCAAGGTCAAAAGTATACCTCCCCTGAGTTGGGCAATGATGGACGTTGCTGATGTGGGCTGCTTTCCTTCTGTTTTGAGACAGCCCAACCTGACTTGTTGTCGATCTGGACGCCCTGATTGCTCTTTACATGGTCCAATGAACATCATTACTGCCCACTTGGATGAGACGGTGGTCGAATTCTAGTTCCTTCCGTTCATTCTATATCTGTGACCGACTGTGGCTGCGACTATCTACAGCGCAGGCCCATGATGCTTCTGCTTCTGCTTTCACAAAAGCCAGCCGGATCAGAAAGCGACACGTCCGACTTGCTCTCAATGTCCATTAGATGTAAGCAATCGTCTGGTCCTTCGAGCGCAGAGGCTAGCTTTTGGTGTATGCCAGGTCAACCAAGCCGCAAAGGAGAAGGGGCCAAGGTAATAATCTCATACAGCGAACAAAGACTGTGCCCGCACATTTAGTCAGATAGTCACGACGTTGAAGTATACCCCTTTTCAGGGTGCTCTGTGTGCTTTTTCGCGCGGGCTGAGCCCCATCCGTACGAAGCCACTCGAAATCACCTCACCATACCAGGTTAAACCCTTAAACCTCTTCTCACGTGCGAAAGAAGACTTTGCGCCGGTTTTTGAACTTTCCAACGTCCGGCAAGCCCCGACGATAACGAACGAACGCCTTTGCTGTTTTGCTGGCGGCCTTTTAACTTGCTAGCTCCTCACAGGACGATCGTGCACTTTTCCATAGTGCAGCCTCCCAGCTTGGGTCTCGTTATAATCGAGACCAGGGAGCTCGCAGCTGCTCATCAGTAACATATCAACGCAAAATTAATTGCTTGACTAAAGAGCCGCCGGCTGTATACCAACTCTAGAATCCTCTCGTATGTAAACCTCCCTAGCTCGTTTGTGGCGGCCGTGAAGAGCACAACCCTGAGGACACCCCTCACGCATCGTGTGTGGAATGACGCCGCCAAACAATAGCCTCCGCGACCGATGTCCCTTGAGTTGCTCATGCGTTACAGTCGTCGTTCAGGCTGCAGCGATTGACGCAATTGAAATGCAAACTGCCCCTCTGATACGGTGTTGACAGCCGGGAGCCACAGTGACCGCGTCGAGTGACGTCCTGGGACGTATGCGAATTGATGCCTAACTTCGACCCGTTATAGTGGGCAATATCGTTCAACCTACGTCAGTCCTTCACAATCAAGTCTTGACATTGGAACGATTCGTGCGGCACAGTGTCCACGCGACTGCGATGGCGCCGGCGGTTTACTTGCGATGGCCGTTTCCACTGTAGGCAAAGCAACTTTGCTTTATTTGATTGTTTCATTATTTGCCAAGAGCCGTACTCAAGTTTGTCGTATTCGCAGCGATTCCCGCTTCTCCTAGCCAATCCGATCGAGAGCATTGTCTTTCAGGCAGGGAAATAGTTAGGGCGTCACACTCGGAGACCCTGTGGTCACCGCCACGCAACCTCACACCGGGATATGATGTTCGATCGAATCATGGGTACTCGGCGTCCGGAAGTGAGACGTGGATACTTATGCGGTCATATTTTACGTCCACCCTTGCCACATCGGGTGGTGAAGCTGGTCGACGCCTCTGTGGTGTATCCTCATCACAGTCTGGAAGTATCCTTCTGAACTCGAAGTAGAACCCGTGATGGTCCGTGTCTTTC